TTTTTTTCGTCAATAGAAGTGGTGATAATCATTGAACAACAAATAGCTAAACTTATATGACATTCAACAAACGGTCATTTTTTTTATAAGATCATTTCCATTTTCAAAGAAAACCTAGTAGTAGTATTGTGGATTAGCCTTAAAAATCATAGTGGTATGAATTGTAACGTTGATCTGATCATTCGCATTGATTTCAACGTTTTTTTATCGTCCATGTCTTATCGTTATGTGATATGAGCCAAAGAAACAAGAACAGTACCATGTATATGTGTAAGCGACGACAAACACGCTATGATTGAATTGAAGATCGTGTAGACAGAACTGATGTCCACTCAAAGAGAATTTGTTTTCTTGAAATTCGAATATTTCATCTTTTGTTTATTGGTATTAATCGTCTATTTTTACCAGACTATGAGAATAAACGTAGTCTGTGATATATGAATCTTCTTCTCCATCTACGGCAAGACTAGTTCAAGTAGAATTCTTTATCTTTTCAAACTTCACTGAAACGCTTTGTGATGAGAATATGTTTGTGAGTGTGATAAATTCGTCATCATAAAAGTCAATTTCCATTCTAGCATTCCTAGAAACATTCACTTATTTGGAATGAAATTTAACGAATAGATGGCTACTGATTTGCATACACGTATGAGATAAATCTTCCTCAAATTCTTCTTTACGTGATCACCGCTTCTATCGATGAAAAAAAATACCAAATCACTTTGACAATTTCTTTCATCGTATAACAAACAAGTCTTGTTTCCAAATTTCAATGAGGTTTTCATTTACATTTCGATGTTGAGTATTCTGCAACTGTCATCAAACTTATTCCTCGCTTTTCTTTTCTTTTAGCTGACTCGGTCATAATTCAGTGCGACTATGTATAAGAGAATGTGCACGTGTCGAAACAAAAAGACGACAAACGAAGCAACGATGATTGAAATATCAACCGAATCTTTTTTCGATACATCAATGTAGATGTAATCATTCAGAACATTATTGAGTTCAAGATTTGGTTAAATTAGAATGAGAATCTTTCAGAATATTCACTCTCATGAAAACCATCATCTGTTGAGCTAATCTTTTTCGATTCATAACGATCAAAACAACGCTGAAAGAATGAATTTTTTTCTGACAAAACTATTTCCATGCCTTTAAGGATTTATCGTTTATGAATTATGTTTTTGTTTCTTTTCATCCCTTTTATGATAAGGTAAAAGATCATGCTTCATTTGATATAACGGTTTCATTGGTAAGATGCTTTCGTTCAGTTCAAACAAAGACTGTCTGGCTCTGCTAGTCGTTTTTCTCTCTTTCTCTCTGACACATGACGAGCAAATAAAACAAGCCGATAAATGTACAGCGAGAACCATTTGACGAAAGAAGCGTTAAACAATTTGTATTGTTCAAATCTTTACGGATAATTACATATCAATATTCGAATTGAGACGATTAATTCATTGACATTCTTTATCAAGTGAAAATCTTTGTACATTTACTTGTGTACTCTCTCGTGTTCATATATTGTTTTTCACAAGGGAAACATTTCCAACACAAACGAATTTCGTCTTGTATATGATTCATTTTAGATTAGGATAATGTCTCTGCGATCAGTAATGGTGAATACAGCGACTGGTTCTAGTCCATCGTGCCCAGGTCGAGCAGTTCGGGCCGGAAACGCCAGGTTCCGACGTCTTCCCGCGATTTCACGGAAGCAGTATTCCGGAACGGACTTTCCCGGATTTTCCACCATCTTTCCACTCATATCCCAACGGAAACACCAGGAAAAATTCAGGGAAAAATCCGGGCGGTTCCTTTTGTGATCCACATACACGTCGTAGGAACGGAAACGAGTGGATCTTCGACGGAATTTTTACGCCGCTTTCCGTACGAGTATCTCCGACGTTTCCAACATATTTCCCGAGAATTCCAAAACCGGAAAGGCATCTATGTCAACCGTATCGGTATCCAAACCGCTTCCTCAATCATATTCCAAACCCATCTCCCATCTCAAACAGTTCGGACACATACCGAAACCAGCAAATAGTTGCGCTACACTCTAATGTTATTCACCTTTGACCAAATCACACCAGTCACTCACTACGTCATATCCCTACGAGCATATCGAGCTGATCAGAAACTGCCACAAACAGAAATTCAAAATTTGAAAAGTTAGATTTGTTATTTCAACTCCCAGCTAAATTCTGATGACACTTTGTAATAGGTTATTGAGGTCCAGCAACCCGAATATGTAGTCAGTTTTTCGAGGCGGGCTTCCATTGGTCAGAAAATAGGTCCATCCCAGAGTCAAAAGCTGCAAAGTGATACATTTTTGTGGCGATTTTATTATTTTTCCGAAAGCAATCTATTTAAGAAAAAAAGTGTTGATCAACCTTATTCAGATTATCAGTCAAGAGTTTTTCTACTGAAATCACTCTGAATACCTTGTCAAATATAACAACTTCAATAAGAAAGTTGTTCTACAATATCGAACAAGTTAAACCAAAGATCTGTTGGGTTGAGAAAATAACTAGCCAAAAATTTCTGATTTTGTGTCATCATTGTTTTATTGACCTATGTGACCATGTAAAAAACAAGGAGTTACCTCATTGCTAACTAAATACGCTGTATCACAATGGGTACTTCCCATTTATATGAAGTCGATCGTATTGTACGGTAAACTATGATTTGTTGCATCTTAATTATTAGAATAATATCACATCGAGATTTCCAGAGAAATTTCGTCTAGCAGTTCAGTTTTCGAAAGAAAAAACATTGAGAAACGAATATTTTGTGCGAAGTAAGAAGTCGAAGATTTAATGTCAAATTGATCAGGAGACCCAACCGTTCTCAAAAATGAACTTAATCTGTAAGTAATCAAGCAAAGACACGCTCCGTGTTATTTGTCATAGTTTTTCAGAAAAACTGCTAATAGACTATGGATTGCTTGTGAGAACAAACAGCAAAAAATCGAGAAACATTGCTCGTTGTCAAGATTCAGTTGAGTAGGACTTTTATTTAAAAATCAAAGTTAATCATAAACAAACTTTATATGGATTGTAATTATCTTTTATTATCAGCGGTTGTTATTACTGACTTGGGTGTCGTTAATGTTGATTATTCTAAAATATTTAATATACAACATGAAATTCGAAATGAAGACTCGTGTAAGTTTAAAATCTTTTAATTATGCATCTCATCGAATCGTTACCTCAAGTAGATTGAGAGAAATACTGATCTGTTTTTACTTTAGGTGTATTTCGGAGTATGTCATAGGTTGGCCTACTTAATACCGTAAATATATGAATTATCCATCTAATTCACCTATTTATTTCTTATTCGTGTATTGGATTCTCTATTTTTTTCGACAGCAGAATTCTGATCAATGCCATAATAATGATATATATATAACATGAAGGAGATCTACAATATGTCGATATCCCTATCTTCACCCGCATATTAATTGTTTGTGCCAGGCACTATTTGAAAGTTCATCTATATTTCAACCATACGTAACCAAAACTCGGCTGCAGTTTTGTCACAACTACTATCAGTCTCGAACTGTAACGCAAGTATAGTATCGTTTGAAAAATATGACGAATATACTTATATCGAGATAAAACCCAATGAGCCCAATTCTACATTAGTATTTGAATAGATATCGTCTATGTACTTACCACAGCTAAATTTTTGTATACGGTAATTGTATGTATCAGCAACAAATATATTATTTTTCGAATCAAATCTCATTCCAAATGGCGATTTCAGTTGATTTGATCGAGTACCGGGTCCATCATTTCCAATTATTGTAATGCCACGTAATGCGCCAGGTGTCCATTTTTGTATTCGATTATTGAAAGTATCGAGCACATATACATTCTTATGTCGATCAACTGAAACTGCTCTTGGTAAAGATAATTGATTTGGATCACTTCCTCCTCCATTTCCTCCTGCCACTGTCATACCATTAGTCGCTCCTTTTGGCCACATTTGAATACGATCATTATAATAATCTGCTATATATATATTATCATCTTTGTCTAGATCGATGCCGATAGGAAATATCAATTGATTTGACTTGCTACCTTCTCCGTTACCACCCGCTACTACGATACCTTGAGTTGCACCAGGTGCCCATTTGACGACGCGGTTATTATCTCTATCGGCTATGTAAATATTTTCTTTATCATCTACATAAATACCATAACAATTGCTTAGTTGATTTAGTGCAGAGCCTTTTGAATTTCCTCCAGCAACGGTTATACCACTTGTGGCACCAAAAGCCCATTTTTGAATGCGAAAATTGCCATTATCAATAATGTACATATTATTATTTCGTACAAAAATACCCACTGGATTTTTTAATTGATTCATACCAGATCCCGAGCTTCCACCTGCAACAATAATTGGATCTTTAGCGCCCGCTGACCATTTTTGTATACGATTAGAATTGTCTGGTACATATATGCTACCGTCCGTATCAACAAATACATCTTCAGGAAGACTAGTTTGAGCTACTCGTGTTCCATTGTTATTCCATGCGTCTGACGAGCATGCTGTTACATTGTTTAAACTAATTTGTACTTAAAAAGAAGACAAGACAATTATCGTGCAATATAAATAAATCCTTAAATCCATTCGCAAAAAAATACTTTCCTAGATTCGCCATGTTTTTACAATTCAATACAACGCGAGCGCTGTTTAATTCAAGATTTATTTTATTTTGAAAATTGAAGGGAACTCTCATGTTAACTGTTCGGGAACCGTATTCTTTTCCTTTTCTGACTAGTTACTTCCATGTCGTATGCGAAAAACGTCGAATCAATACTTAGCATCATCGATCAACGCTGTCGTAAGTGAATTAAATAATGACTGATGATAATTTTCTAATTTCAAAGACTACTGAAATGTTTTCAATATACGGAGGTCTCTTAGTATGGATCGAGATAATCAATGCTACAGATATTGATTCAAAAACGAAGAGTCACATGCCATTTATAATCAATGACGAATTTACTTTAAATGATTCTGAAACAGCTATCATTTTATAAGGCATCTGTTATCATCGCGACAACATCTGTGTAATTCAACTATTTTGCTGTTTTTGGTAGACAATCATGTGAGCCGATTCGATCTCGATTCAAATACCTTACCTAATGTTATTGCCAGAGAAAGTAAAACAAATAGCTTCATCATTATAACGTTTGTGATTACAATCAAGAATGATGGTAGTAATTCTTTTTGTTTTGCGTTGTCTCACAACTCAGTATTTATATTTGCCTATAAAAATGATGCATCGTATTAGATGGCAGGCTTTATTTTAAGACCTAAATGACAAATCAAAAAAAAACCTCAATATTTTGTAATGAAAAGCATACGTCTTTGATTACAGTATATATTTCTTATCAGATAGAGGAGCCTGAGTACTCTGCATATACATCGAATTGAAATGAATATCTCTTGAATGTGGCACACCGAGGGGAAATCCAAGACCAATTAAAAAGTTCATAAAAAAGTAAATCGATATTCTTTTACACTTCGTTTTTAAAAATGAACCGCCTTGCTTTGAAGAAAATGGAAAATTCTTATATAGACAGATCAAACTTTAGCGATTAACATTGATAGGCAGTATCGTGATTGCGATAAGTCTATCGCCGTGGAAACAAACGTGATTCGGTAGATGAACTCTATTGATACAGAAACTTGTTCTATTTCTCTTATTTTTAGTTAAGAATAGTCAGATTCAGCCTCATCAGAGTTTTTTTCTTAAGTTTGAAAAAAATTCTGTTCTTTTCAAACCGAATGAAATTCTTATCGATGTAGTAGAACAAGAGTCAATGAAGCATAGATACATGTGTCCTGCTTATGGAATGCATTTTCACAACGTGCCTTGAAAATTCTTTATTTCCTATGTCATATTCAAGATGGGATGTGGATGTGGGAATCAGTAGTTTTCCCACAGACATTTTTACTGCCCTATAGTATGTCTTTTGTGTCTAGTAATCAAATATTGAATCACTGCAGTTTATTATGATAAGAGGTTTGATTGGTCAGATGTTCGTATCGTGAAAGAGCTACTCACGATGATTTTATTTTGCAATACCATCTATTGTTCTTCGCATATACAAATTCTATAGATCTTTTGAAATTTCCTTCACATCATAGGTTGACTGTCAGTATCTGTTTAAAAAACTTCGAAAACGAAAGTACTATTCAAAGAAATAAAATAATCTTTACTGTTGATCTTATTTTGAAATTTCTTCGATTGATGTGTCTCTCGCATTTATGCAGGAAAAGATAAGGAATGACTAATGAATGATAGACACAAAAAAGGAAATTGAATTTTTTGACGGTGTGTGACATTTTCTATAAAGCCTAATGGGTGTCATTATATATACTCGTTGCTTTTTTTAAATTTACTTCTTCTTATCTATGATGATGTATAACCTTTATTTTTCATTTCTGCTCCTCGTATATATGCTTTAGTCAATCATCCTATTCTAGTCGTGTACATTAAACCACATTGCTCTTCTTAACTCGTCCCGCCTTCACTCATTCATTCTATTTTTCTTATATCTCTTGAATGTTTATGAAAAATGTGTGTTGTTTTATCTAAACAATACGATTATACATGATATGAAGGAATATAATAGAATGTGGTACCACCTCATTAATATTCCTTCTATTAGAAATCGTCACACATATGTAGAGATCTGTGAAAACTGCTGTTACCCGCAGATATCCGTTCCCATTTTTAACAGAAATCTGATTGGAACCGAAAACAATTGCCCCCACAGGACTTCACGATAATGTCTACGTTTGATTTCAAATGATCAACATCACCAGTGTTACATTTGTGAGTAAAAAAACATTATCTGCTTTCTCCTTCACGCTAGTTGATTTCTGTTTCTTTATCAATGGAGAAAAAAACGAATGCCTTGAAATCCTTCGTGATACTTTGTGGCAGTTCATTTGTTACAACGACCACGATGGAAAAAATAGCTATGTGGCTTTCCCAATCAATGTTCACAATTTCCTGGCTCGCCTACATATTGTAAGTAGAGCTTTTGATCGGTAAATTTTGAAAAACAAATATCCCCTGAAGACTAAGATATACTTAGTTGCCATTCCAAGGTGTTCTGTCTAGATGAATACAATTTACAAATCACAATTACATGCAATGGCGCAGAAATTTTACAGCTACGCAGCACTATACTATGAAGGTAAATGAATTGACGCGAGCTTGACAAATAGCAGTCCATTAAAATATCTTCATTCTATATACTCACACCCGTTCTTTTTCCTTTCATAGACATGCATGAATACCCAGACAATACTGATCGTGATTACATTATTGTAACTATTTTGCACTAATATATTAGAATGCAGAGTATACTAATGATTATAACTACACCTTTATTGTGTTCACCACTTGCTTTTATGTTGTGTTTAGACAAGCAGCCTTCATAAGAGTACGATTGAACATTTTTCGAAGTCATCGTTTTTATAAAGGTAATACTAGTTTACTTTTCTTGCGAAATATCAAGGAAATTTACTTAGAATAACCAACTGTAGTTATGAGCTCTGAAATTTAACCAAATTAATCACATCGTAAGCCAATAAAGAAAAAAAATGAATTTAACACTAACTCACGCATGATTTTACTACTATAGATTTATGTGACATGTATATGTATTTAGGTTTCTTCTCTTGAGCGTTCTTTGATTGGAATTTTTTCATTCATTTATGTTATGGATAAACAACTTAAACCTTCTATTGAACTTCATGAGTCGGGCAATAATGATGAAAATCTTGAGCTTGTTGAATTTAAGTCAACAGAGTTTCAAGATGAATCAAGCAAAAGTGTTGTTAATAAAATACTAGATGATAGAACAAATGATGATCCCAAAGATAAAAAACTCTTGCGCAAACTTGACCTTCATATCATTCCTGCTATGACATTACTTTACTTGATTTGCTTTCTTGATCGTGTAAACATCGGACAAGCTAAACTCAATGGTCTCACGAAAACATTAAATCTTTCTAGCATACAATACAATAATTGTTTGAGTGCATTCTTCGTGACGTACATTCTATTTGAGATTCCGTCGAATTTAATACTAAAAAAATTGCGACCAAGTCGATGGATACCTCTTATCATGACTGCTTGGGGCGTCGCGACAACTTTTATTGGCCGTGTTGATTCCTATGCCGGTCTTTTCATTTGCCGAATTATATTAGGTGCCGCTGAATCAGGCTTTTTTCCAGGTTAAGATTCAAAACTTGCGAAGAAAATATATTTTACTCTATATTTTCGTAGGCATCAACTTTTATTTGTCAAGTTGGTACAAACGACGTGAAATTTCATGGCGGGTCAGTATTCTTTTCTCTGCTGTGTCACTTGCTGGTACCTTTGGTGGTATTCTTGCCTACACAATTAATCTTATGCATGGTATTTGGGGCCAAGAAGGTTGGCGTTGGATCTTTTATATCGAAGGTTCAATCACGGTTATTGTCGGAGCGTTATCTTTTCTTTTCATTAGCGACTTTCCATCCGATCGACCAAAGTTCCTCACTGAAAACGAATGCGATCGAGTGATTGTTCGTTTACGTACCGATGCTGGGCCCGGTGCTAGCGAACATTTTAGTTGGTCTCAAGTAGGTTCGGCATTTTTAGATTGGAAATTGTACGTCTGGTCATTGTGCGGTCTAACAATCACAGTACCAGTTCTTTCTCTTAATTTTTTCTCTCCGACCATTATTGCTAATCTTGGTTTTGCTAACTATCAAGCACAACTTCTCACTGCTCCACCATATGCTTTTGCATTTATTACTACCATGACTACTGCCTATTTCTCAGATAAATACGCTCGACGTGGTATATTCATCATGTTCTGGTCGATAATTAGTATTATTTCGTATATAATTCTACTTCTGACCGAAAATTTTGTCCTTAAATACTTTGCTATTTTCATTGCAGTTGGCAGCTTGACACCATCGACAGCAATATGTATCAGTTTTCTCTCATGTAATATTAGTCCTCATATAAAACGAGCCACTGCATTAGCATTCATGCTTTCTATGTGTAATGTCGGCGGAGTCATTGGTGGTCAAATATACAGATATCAAGATGCCCCTCGTTTCATCATGGGTCATTCAGTCAATCTTGTCTGCTGTGTATTGAGTTTTGCTACGGCTACTATTCTCGTTGCTGCTCTTTACTTAGAAAATCAACGACGAGATCACTTGTATGGTAAAGTCAACAACTATACGGCATCAAATGCGGAGGCAGACACCATTGATATATTTAACTTGGGTAGTGCAGAAGGTCGACAGCGATGGGGTTATGAAAATATGTCTGAGAAAAAGATTCGCAACCTAGGTGACAAACATGCTGCATGGAGATATATATTATAATATCTGATTTCATTTTGTCTAAAAAACAATGATTAATTTTTAATAATATTTTTTTATTCCATTAAAAACAGAGTGAGTGCAGAACTTGATTCAAAAACATATACATTTTTCATCGACTATATCCATTGTTGAGGTAATGACCTTTGGGAGCTATACAATTAGTCCTTTTTTTTTATAAATCTTCATTAATTTGATCTTGATATAATTCACAATTTTGAATCACCTATTTTTCTGCAAAGTTCTGATCATCAGTAGTAACGCTATTAGAAAGCAGTGAAGAAATTTCTTTATGTATACAGGATAGAGTTACGAAATGCAAACAGAACCAAACCTGACTTGTGTTTATTATTTTACAAAACACCTCTTAAATTTCGTGTTATTGAATTGATTTCTTTCTCCGCATGGGTGTTTTTTTACTACACTCTACCTGGACGTATTCATCAACATGCTGTATTTATTGCTGAGAAATATTCTCTTCGTAGTATTCTTTTTCTTCGTTGTCGTCGTCTACGCTTTTTCTGTGCTTTTTAAATTTATAGTATAACTTATGATTACACATCACTTGATATTTTTAATGTTTCATGATTGTATGTAAGTATCAGACCAAGCTACGTTGTTTTTTTTATGATACTTCTCATGCATGAATGAGTAGTTGATCAATTGTTCTAAAAAAATATTGACCCTATAATTAGTATTTATTAGTGCAAAAATTTCATCCTATGATCCTCTCTCATAAAAGTGCATATTTTATCATTAATTGATATGCTAATCTTTTGATTAATTATGTCTCATTATTAATTTACTTAATTTGTAGTTTACTGAATAATGTTGCTGGTGTGAGTATTGAAAATTTGTGTATCTAAAAAATTATCCTAGCCTGTTTTGGGCATGGCGCATCTATGAAGGTCAAACTTGACACATGTATTTAATTGAACAATTACTCTTAAGTTTTCAAGCTTCAAATCATTTAAGATGCATACAAACAAGTAAGCTAAGAAATAATTTTCAATGGTGTGCCAATTTGTGCTAATAAAATGTTCTTCAAACATAAAAGCCGTTAAATTACCTGCGCGATTTCTCACTAGTACTTTAGATTTAGATGAGTAGAACATCAAGTTTTTAGTTGCTATTTGTATTAGCAAATTATGACATATCAGTTATATACAAGCGAACAAGTACTTGATTCTACTGAACATTGTATGGTCGTTCTTGATATTACTGAAAAAGATTTTCGATCAAATCCTTCTCTCGATCGGTATATTCAATATTGGTTTATTGATGTTGATGATCTTATTGATTTTATTCTTACTGGTACTTATACTAAAATAACTCTTATTATTTCTCCGCTTTTAATAAATATTACATTCGATATTCTACGTCCTCTGCTTCCTCAGATTATTAGAATTATCATCATTGGTAATGGTTCGTTTTCTGGTAGCCATGCTGAACATTATGAACATGCGCAAGCACTCGTCAATAATATTCATAATAACATTCGCCAACAACGACGCCTATATATTACATTCGACTCATGGCCCGTAGAGCGATCATCGAATGACTTGAATTCAGATACAGCTAAATTTCTCTGGTACAAATACTATTTTAATATACTTTCACGTTTAACAAATACAGCTGTAGCAAGACGTGAAATGTTAGACTGTGTACGAACATTTCACAAGCGACAAACTGACGTAGTTAAAAAGTCATGTGAAGAATTTGAAAGAGAATATAATTCAAATGATATTGTAAAATGGTATACTCGAGATTCTTTTTGTTATCTTCTATTGAATCGAACACTTCGTTCAGAAGATATTAATCATATTTTTGCTATGCGTTATATTATCTTCGATTTAGAAAATTGCTTCCAGCGGCCTGACCACAAATCAGTAGAATATGATTTTGACACGGTATTTCGTGGGCAACAAATGAATCTTTCAGAAATGCAACAGATAGAAAATAATGTTGGTGGTCTGATTGGTTTAACAGCCTTTTGGTCAACCACTCGCTCATGGAACAAAGCATTTCGTTTTACTGAAATATGGCCACATAATCGAACGGATGCAGTCGAACGTGTCCTTTTCACCATTCGTATATCTTCTGCTGTTCAACAACCTGTTTTTATGGATATATCAAAGTTTAGTACATTTGATTGTGAATTGGAAGTTTTATTCTCGATGCGTTCTCTATTTCGAATCGAGAAAGTCAATCACAACAAACATGACAGTATTTGGTACGTCGATTTGACTTTAATCGACGAGAATAATGATCAGTTTCTATCAATCATGCAGCCATGGTATTTCATGACAAATAATATTATCAGTTCACGATCATTCTTTATATCAGCAATCGAACAACAAGGTTTCTTTCGTAATTTAACGCATTATAGTTTTCCTTTTCTTGCTTTTCAATTGTTTGTTGATATGATGTTACGATTAGATCGAACAGAATTTGCACGTGATGAACTTCTGGAAGTTTGCAGAGAAAAATATTCTAATAATCCGACTGAATTGAAACGAATTGACGATTTCGAGCATACATACGACTCCAAACATGCAATAAAATGGTACACAACAGATTGCTTCATCTATCGAATCATTAATGAATCATTAAGAATTGAAAGTGTCGATCTAACGTTCAAACTTCGATACTTCATACGTGATCTTCATAATCAGCTGGCTGATATGCAAATTGATTTTGATCGTTTATTGCCACACAATACATTTATTTTGACACTCTATCGTGGTTTACGAATGCATTTAAATCAATTTGAAGAAATAAGAAAAAATAAAGGGAATCTTGTTTCAACAAATTCTTTTTTATCGACAACAAGCGATTATGTAGCAGCCTGTTTCTTTGCTGGTGATGGAAATGTAGATCAAGATCATGTTTCAGTCATATTTGAAATAACGGTAAATGCTAAAGTCAAACATTCGATACTGTTTGCTAAAATTGAGTATCAAAGTATTTTTAAAGATGAAGATGAAGTTCTATTTTCAATCGGTGCGATTTTTCATGTGGATGAAATAGAAGAAGTTCGAGAAAATTTATGGAAAGTAGAATTGACCTTAACACAAATAGAAGATGAACATTGGAATATACTGACAGCTCATTTAAATTCCAAATAAAAATCATTTTATTTTCTTTTCTAAATTGTAACCTTTATGAATGATTTAGTGTTGTAAAAATGATTCAATAAACAACTGTAACCACCACTTACCAAACCAGCTACTGCTGAATTCTGCATTATACACTATAGTTTCTAGTAATTATCATTCCCAATAAAGATATGCTATAAATCAACAGTGATTGAAATTTCTACTCTCTAGTTCTAGTTTTTTTTCTCTGTTACATCAGTACGATTGTGCGTGCCATTCATATACAAAAACGAGTTGAAACGGTTAGTGAAAACATAATAGTCTAATAAATTTCCACTGTTACCAAGGGGCCGATCAAAATACAGGTACCCATCTCACAATTCCAAATATTTTACATTGGATATTTAGGAATTAGTTTGTAATTTTTCTCTGATTCAATGTCGAAATAGACGTCAAGCTGACAAAACATAATAATTTTAACACATGATGGATGAATGACATGGAAGATGACTTTGATAGATTTATTCTTTTTAATTGATTCAATGGTAGTGATAAGCCTCGATATTCGTTTTTAGGCTGTGCTATGGCCTATTATATTTATCAATAGAGTTAGTCATCATGGGAAAACTTTAAATAAAAATATTCTGATACGAAACAAAAAAAAAGACGGTTATCATGAAACTTTACTTCTATACTGTTCTTGTTTCGACTCTCATAATGAGCGAGCGAACAAAAGTCGTACTCTAGAATACAAATGAACTCTCAAACTACTTTGTATTAAAAAAAGTAAGTAGTATGTATATTGATAGAGTCAGTTAAGATTGACCCCCTCAGTAACGATATTCATGTTAAGGTCTGCGATAACCCCGCATGCGTGTATCGGGAGATGGTCCATAACCAGTATCCTGTAATACCGTACCACTATAGCCATACCCTGTAGCATGATCATGGGTACGACGTAGTATAGGATCATAAGCCGATCGTATATCATTCACTTGCATCGACCGTGTCAGATGGTCATTCGTATACTTCGTCCGAAAATCATTGTGGGGTGAGAATGCGCTATTGATGCTATATCCTAATCCGTTATTGGGACTATAAAAGGTTTGTCTTTCACTCGATGCCCAAGGCAAATTCGATGGTTCTGCCGCAGCTGTCGAATAAGTAGCTCGTGTGGGAGTGTGCGAGGAAGGCATTGGTCTCGGCGCTCCATACGTGTCTAAAGATCGCACATGAGACGCAGCATGAGTTGCTGGAGCTTCTATTATTCTGCCCGTGGACATCGGACTGCACACAGATTTAGATTGTGAAAGAACATTAGATTGAGGCTGATGACTTGATCCTGGTTCTTTCGAAATAGAAGATTTTGAGTTGCATAGCTCTCCTTCGTAAACGATCCACTTGCATAAACATTTGATGAAATTACTCGCATACACTTGTTTTTTCCATCTTTCAGGCAAACGCTCATAGCCATAGTGAGCACCAGCCAATTGACCGTAAATAGCAGCAGTCGTATCAGTGTCATCACCAAGATTGACTGCGTCGAGAACACCTTTCTCGAAAGAGTTGTCGTCATAACAAAAGGCCCATAAGGCTGCTTCGAGAGCACTAACAATATATCCTTTACCTCGGATACCTTCACGATAACCACCAGGTTTCTTGTAGGATCCTTGGGCAACATTTAACACTTCTTGCGTAAGCGATTTGCTGCCAAACCAATGTTTATGTTTCGAATAGAAATCATTATCAAGCAACTGTGCCTTTGTTTCACCCAGCAGAGCAGCTACAATCAAAGCACCATAATATCGACAAGCATCCGACGCTTTTTGATCACCATGAGTAATTATGCCACTAATACCAGAATATTCAACAGCTTTAATAGGATCTCGATAGAAAAAGAGAGGAACGGGAGCTAATCGCATCAAGGCTCCATTACCAGCTGCACCATCTTCACTACAATTTACTTTGAATTCTTTTAACAGAGCCTGGTCGGACAGAGAATCCAGTTCGGTAGAAGCAATACTGTGTTCATTAGCAAATAGTTTTTGGCGGCGCTCGAATTCGCGTAGCGATTGACTGGTGGCAGCCCCAATATCGAAACATTGGCCAGTCGAAGACATATAGCCATCTCTGTACCACCACTTGTATCGCACTAGCTGATCATATGGAACGAAATCGCGACGACATACCAATGATGCAGCTAGACATAAAGCCATCGATGTATCGTCTGTGAACTAAACAAATAACAATAATATGGAGATTCATGTTTCTCACAACTTATGTAATTTAAAATTCGTTTTGTGTATTCAAAGGGATTTATTGAGAAAATACTCCATATCATGATTTTAAATCAACTACTAATCTCAGAGGCATTACAAATGAATGAGAATATGATTCAAATAATTTCCCATTTGTTCACGAAATGAGAGACACTGGGCTTCAAGTAGAGAGCTATTTCGAGAAGCATCGAACAAATTTAAACATGGTTACTAACAGCACATATACAGTAATGTACGTTGGCTATGAGAAGCTTTAATTGGCATATAATCGAATATGAAAATTAATCCTCGCGCTTCTTATCAAATGAAGAAGATACTTTACTTGTCCTTTTTTGAGACCCCACGTTCCTCCTTCTTGAAGATCTTGAACAGGGTTTTCTTCCAGGTATTGTCGTGGTCGGAATTCAACATGAGCTCCAAGCGCATCACCTAAGGCCATACCCAACATTGACCCTTCTACACGATTTAATATACCACGATCACAACTTGAAGCAGGGTATTGTACCTTCGTTTCCAGATCTTCAGGAGTCATAATCATTTGCTTGCTGTCGTCGTGATACTGGCGATTTAGCCAAGATTTATCCGAAGCAGAATATTCATTCTTTCTTCCAACGGATTCAATCCCTGAACCGGGAGAAGGTTTGTCGATGCGAAAATTATTAAATGTATTTGTTTCGACAGTAGATTTTTGTGGTTGAGATTTTTGATTTTCGCTTGGTGTTTGGAGTACTACCAATTTATAAGTAGCTAAATGAAAAGATGAAACTATTTGTAGAATCGTATGCAATTAATGACAAATTAAACTCAATATGAGAAACGACGTTTGCTTATGCAATTTCTCAACAAATAAATTTTTTAGATGATTGAGCGCAGAAAATGGTAAGCACTAAAATATGATTTCTTCCATTGTATTTACCTGGTAAAAAACTGGTGTTAGTGGAAAAGAGCGAAAAGGAAATTAGCGAAAAAGAAAAGAAAAGAAAATATCCATTTATGGAAGTTTTCTGTGTCTTTCTTTCACTATTTTCCACCAAGTTCAAAAAAACTGAAAACTATCTGCTATCCATATCTTCCATACCAGTCAGAATTAGATGGAGCAAGTCTCATTATATAGATACGACTATTAGGACAACGACATTGACTGAGAATACTACAGTAAATAACAAAGGATGAATTCAAATGTGGAAATATAAGGAAAAACACTTAATTCCACTAGCGAATCTTCTTCAGAAAAATGTTACCAATATCAGAAATGCTATTGCTTTAGGTTTAGAACACTGATTAGAATCGATTATTAATATAGAATCTCTATTCTTTTTCTTCTATGCAGGGTGTGATTGAATCGATTTACTAACACCCTGCAGAAGGTTTTACACCTGACTCTTAGTAGGATATCTTGTACATCACTTATTGACTTTTCTCTCAAACTCTGGACATTCTGTGCCGGTTCGAGTAGCCACCTATTTTTTTTATAATAAAAGATAGTTCAATCTCAAAACAAACTTACTATTTACTTGTGGAACCTCTGGTTTCTTGCTTGGTTGAATTGAGGGTGAAGGTAAGCCTTGATCTGTGCGATATGCTTGATTCGTTGAGGATAGATAACCTGACGGCTGAGGTAACAGCTGACTTTGAGATTCTACTTCTTTTAAATAAACTTTTCTAGAACCATATTTTAAATCTTCTTTCTTCATAACTCGGAAGCGTGTACCAGGCATCAGTAGAACTTCGTTCTCGTTAGGATCTTCAGAATAGTCGCGAATCGATTTCCCGTTGATGCATTCAATTTCAAACATAGTGTAGACAGCGCATTTATTGAGAAGATCATCAATTACGAGTTTAGTTCCCGTGCAAGGGCTGAATCCTGTCCAGATACATTCGTTTTGATAATGAGCGGTAATGTCGCCTCGAGCACCACACCAAACAGTACCCTTCTTTGGTGGTAATTTATTCAAGCCAGTAACGAAGAGTTGAATATAGGAAGCCCAAGGGATAACATGGTTTGGTACTCCGGATCGAAGTACTCTATTCAGTTTTATAGCAATAGCTTCATTAGCTCTCCAATACCACATAGTATAAAGATAAATGGCAGCTGCTTCATCAACTGTGAGTTTATCCCCTGGACAATACATCTTTCTCTTTGCCGTCAGTACCATGCGTTCATAGTCATATGTTAAAAGTTGAATACTCTTCACAGCGTCTTCAAGCTTCACCAAAGATTCTTTACGATAATCTTGGATTGATGATAGTCTTTGTAGAGGCTCTTGATCAGCATCCAAAAACCGGTCAGCTGAAGTCATCTTTCGAATGAATTAATTTAGTATACAAAATTCGACTACCTTCTACCTCTTTTCTCTTCGAAATGCTTTTTACTACACTTGTCGCTGACAATCTTATCGAAAGAGAACGAAATACTAGAAAAAAGAGCGCGCGAGAATAGGAAAGAAAGAAACCTCTGAGGTAGTTAACANGCAAACGGATGATTTCTCCTGAAGATAATGCGATTGCATAAATCAAGGGAGAAAAAACTCATTCGGCTATTCCGTGCCATTCCTAAATATTCCCAGCGATTCAAAGGTCCCACCCATTCCCAGCCATACTCAAACATCCCCAATCATTCCAAGCCATTCCCAGTGTGCCGATATTGATGGCACGCTTCGATGATTCTCCTTCCTCTTCCTTCTGTTCTCTTTCCATTGTTATAATATCTCTCTCTTCTGTCTCTCTTCTATCTCTCTCCTATATATACGTGCGTTATGTATGAACTTGTTACACTCTGGATATGTGAATAAGCGAATAAACATCATTACCGTGAGTGGCTGTAAGCTACTCCATCTCTATCCAGTTTGTCATTACGATATAATCTCGTCAGAGCCTAATTTATCGTTAACCCAGTTATTCGAGTGGCTGGGAATGAACTTTTCCACCCTGACGTGAAGTCATGTCAAGTGATCTCCAGAAGTTTTTCTATCTCACCTGACTTGATTTCACTTCGCTCGGTACCAAACGTTTTAAATCAAGTCACGTCAAGTCAAGTGAGATGGAAAAACGTTTCGATATCACTTGACTTAACTTGACTTGGTAGAAAATGTTTTCACCAAGTTAAATGAAGTTACGTGATATGAAAAATTTATTCGATCAACTTAAACAAGTCAGGTCAGATCGAATAAATTTTTCATATCACTTAACTTGACTTGATTTAACTCCATGAAAAGATTTTCTGCGAACTAAAGCCAAGTCAAGTGAAATCGAAAAGTCAGGTAAATTTTTTTAAATTTAGATATGGGCGAACGTTTGGTTCAACAACAGTAAGCATAACTTTTAATATAGAATTATTATTTTTTTGTTTAGAGCGTCTCGATCAATATATACAATGGTAAGGATTTCCTAACCCTTCTGAAATGCATTTGAAAGGGATTATGAAATCAATATGCCCTTTCATGTGCCTTTTGGAAGAGTTTAGGAAAATAATAAACCGTTATAAGGGTTTAGGAAAGGAAGAAAGTCAATCCTGAACCATTTGGGACGGTGCATGAAGGGGTTTTGGGGAAACGTGAACCCTTTCTGGAACCGTTCCAAATGGTTCAGGATTGAGTTTCTTACTTTCCTAAACCCTTCCAAAGGGTATATGACAGGGTATATTGATTTCCTAAACCCTTTCATATACCCTTTGGAAGGGCTCATTGATTTCCTAAACCCTTTGGAAGGGTATATGAAAGGGTTTATTGATCTCCTAAACCCTTCCTTAAACCCTTTTTAGGGTTTATGAGTATGTACTAAACGCTTGGCTATATCCCTGCATGGGTTTATGAGCATTTCATAAACCCTTAGCTGAATTCTATCCGTACTTGATGGCCTTCATAAACCCTTTTTCAGGGCTTATTAAAGGGTTTATGATTTTCCTAAACCCTTAAAAGGGTTGTTGAAAGTGCAACGTATAATAAACCCTTTAATAAACCCTTTAATAAACCCTTTAATAAACCCTAAAAAATGGTTTACTATACGTTGCACTTTCATCAACCCTTTTTGGGTTTATTATTCTACGAATTTTTTTTACAGTGTATGCAGGGTGTGATTGAATCGATTTACTAACACCCTGCAGAAGGTTTTACACCTGACTCTTAATAGAATATCTTGTACATCACTTATTGAATTTTCTCTCAAACTCTAGACATTCTGTGCCGGTTCGAGTAGCCACCTATTTTTTTTATAATAAAAGATAGTTCAATCTCAAAACGAACTTACTATTTACTTGTGGAACCTCTGGTTTCTTGCTTGGTTGAATTGAGGGTGAAGGTAAGCCTTGATCTGTGCGATATGATTGATTCATTGGCGATGTGTAACTTGGACGATAAGGTGATAGCTGATTTTGAGATTCTACTTCTTGTAGATATACCATGTGGATATCATCCCCCTGATAATATTTATCCAGCACCCGTAAGCGTGTACCCGGCATTAATAGAACTTCATCCTGATCTGGCCGCTCAGAATAATTGCTGATCGATTTACCATTAATACATTCAATTTTGAATACAGTATATACACCGCATGGATCAAAAGCTCTTGTCATTACTGATTTTGTTCCTGTACAAGAGCTGAATCCAGACCAGATACATTCATTTTGAAAACGAGCAGTAATATCGCCTCGAGTAAAACGCCAAATTGTGCCCTTCTTTGGTGGTAATTTATTCAAACCAGTCACGAAGAGTTTGAGATAGGAAAGCCAACGCTTGATATGACTTGCATCTCCAGATCGAAGTGCTCTATTCAGTTGTATAGCAATAGCTGAATCAGCTCTCTGATGCCACATAGTATAAAGATGAATAGCAGCTGCTTCATCCAATGTAAGACTTTCTCTTAAGTGGCGCATCTTATTTAATGCCGGCACCACTTTATAGTCATAGAGATATGTTAACGATTGCAGCTTTTTAGCCGCCTCTTCAAGTGAGACCACTGGTTCGTTTTCAAAATCTCCAATAGACGGCAGCCTACGTTGAAGCTCTTGATCAGCATCCAAAAACCGGTCAGCTAAAGTCATCTTTCGAATGAATTAATTTAGTATACAAAATTCGACTACCTTCTACTTCTTTTCTCTTCGAAATGCTTTTTACTACACTTGTCGCTGACAATCTTATCGAAAGAGAACGAAATACTAGAAAAAAGAGCGCGCGAGAATAGGAAAGAAAGAAACCTCTGAGGTAGTTAACAATTTTTTTGTTGCTTATGCATATTTATTCAGCGAAGAATGTTTTGCCTTTCTTTGATATGATTCAAAGCCCCATTTGACTCATAGTCATTTTTTTTCATTGTTACTCATATCAAAGACATTGCAAGAAATTTCACTTGTTTCTAAAATCTATTAAACCGTAGGAAAAGGTCTCTAAAGGAATGTATTGTCTTTCTTCACTTCTTCAATTTGATAAAAAAAATTCTTTATAAATACTTTGAGGTTAAGCAACAAACTCTATATTGACAAAACAATAAAGCAAGGAAGAAGAAAAAACATTTTGCAAAAACACATAAAATGAGAAAAAGTCAAGGTTTTTTTACTTCAGCTTATGCTTGCACGCATCAAATTATGCTGAGTGTTCTTTTCTTCAGGGTATGGGTGTGGCTGAAGATATCAGTGTGACGATTTTCTTTCAGTGGACTAATACACATTACAATACTAACTATTATTCCGGTGGAGAAAATTTCATAAGGGAGAATTTCTCATCAATAATGCAATCAAAATAATATTTACAGATAGAGGTAATCATGAAAATATTAAAAAGTTTCATCAATTGAGATATTCTGATAGGAGTTTGAAACAACAGAAACTAAGTATTCAGCTACCAAAATTTAATTCAACATAGTCTTTGAAATATGCAAAAGTTCGGATCGATTGAATATTGATTTATTTGAGATTAATTAGTTCCGAATGGGTTTTTTTAGACTTTTGGAAAACATATTACATCTATGAATGAAATTGTCAGTTAGAGAAAAAATCATCGCAAGATATTTTATTTTATATTAAAGCGGAAAAAGAGTTATGTGACCGTTCGTTACGAGACCATTGTTGTTTCAAATAATCATGGCACATCAGATAGAGAGACATAATACTGTGTCGCGTATGGTGCTACTGACTGAGTTCGGTTCCATGGCCAGTCGGTGACGTTTGGGAGCTGTTCATAAGTTGAAAATTGTGCTTCTTGCCTTTGACCATTAAAGTCATAATATGATTTCGTAACAGGACTATAACGAACTCCTGTCGTGACACTATATTTAAACGGTTTTTCATTGTACTCATTGTGACAGAATCCACCACCTACGGTAGGTCCTACTCGTATACCGTATTCATACCGTTTTTGTGTTGTTCTTGGTTTCCAACTGAAAGTCGATCGTACAACCCGGTTCGCTCCATGATTAGTTCTTGAAGGTAGATCTGAGAAATGTACTGAACGCGCCAGTCCTAATTGATTGAAAGGTTGCTCTTTGTGTGCGACTGTCGACGCTTCAGCATGTACTAAACAGGTGTCTGGCATTGAGCCCCATTCAATGTTAGATTGTGACAGGAAATTAGAATGGAACTGATCATTTGCTTCTGATTCATTTGAAATAGAAGATTTCGATTTCCATAATTCTCCTTCGTAAACGATCCACTCACATAAACATTGAAGAAAATTACTCGCATACATTTGTTTCTTCCATTTATCAGGCACACAGTCATAGCCATAGTAAGCACCAGCCAATTGACCATAAATAGCAGCAGTTGTGTTTGTTTCATCTCCAAGATTAACTACATCGAGAAGACCTTTTTCGAAAGAATTCTCGTCATAGTAAAATGCCCATAAGGCTGCTTCGAGAGCATTAATAATGTATCCATTACCTCGAATACCATCACGATGGCCACCTGGTTTCTTGTACGATCCATGGGCAACGTTGATCACTTCTAGCGTGAGCGGCTTGTTATTAAACCATTGTATATGCTTCCAATAGAAATCATTATCAAGCAACTGTGATTTGGCTTCACCACGTAGAGCAGCCACAATCAAAGCTCCATAATATCGACATGCATCATAGACTCTCTGATCATCATGAGTAATAATGCCACTAATACCAGAAAATTCGACAGCTTGAATAGGATCTCGATAGAAAAAGAGAGGAACGGGAGCTAATCGCATCAAGGCTCCATTGCCGACAGCACCATTTGCACTACAAAACACATCGAATTTTTCAAGTAGATAATGGTCGGATAAGCTGTCTATTTCATTGAGAGGAATCTGATAGTTATTAGCAAATAATTGTTGACGGCGCTCAAATTCGCATAGCGATTGACTAGTAGCAGCTCCAATATCAAAACATTTACCATTCAAAGACATGTAACCATTTCTGTACCACCATTTATACCGAACTAGTTGATCATACGGAACGAAATCGCGACGGCATACCAACGATGCAGCTAGACACAAAGCCATTGATGTATCGTCTGTGAACTAAAAAGAATGTCAATACATGTAGATAGAGTCATCGGCAGCATCTGATGTATTTTTAAGAAGCATATTCTGATGATACACAAATGCATAGAAATGTATATAGTGTACAAATAGATCTATTAAGAAAATACTTCATAACATGATTACTTCCTGCATGTATACAGTACGAGTCGTTGGCTATTAGAAACTTAAATTTCCATAGAATCAGAGATGATAACTAGTTCCAGCACTCGTATCTCCTTGAAAGTACCATGAAAAAGTATTATGAGAATGAATACAGAATCCTATCAAACGGAGAAGATACTTTACTTGTCCTTTTTTGAGACACCAAGTTCTTCCCTCGTGAAGATCTCGAATAGGAATTTCCCTTAGGTACTGTCGTGGCATAAATTTAATGTGAGTTCCAAGCGCATCTCCTAAACTCATGCCAAACATGGATCCCTTCACACGATTCAGTGTAATATAATGAACAGTTGTAGGAGGATATCTTAACTTGATTTCCAAGTCTTGAGGAGTCATAATCAATCGTTTGCTATAATCATGATACAGGCGGTCGAGCCAAAACTTATGTGAAGCATAATGATCATTCAATTTTTCAACCCGTCCATACTCGGTGAGAGAAAACGTTCTCTTGATACGATCATTATTAAATCTATTCTGGTCGATAGAAAATCTTCGCGATTGATGCGTTTGATTTTCACGTATTGGCTGGATTGATAGCGTTGTACGAGTAGCTAAACGGAAAAGTGAAAAGACAAGCAACATCATCGTACTCCGATCACAACACAAACTTACTGTATAATGGTCTTGATTTTATTTCATTATTTGATTGAGTTATGGTTGAATGGAAATCCTGGCCTGTTCTATATGTTCCATCGAATGATACTGAAGTACCGAGAAGTTGAGCTAATTGTTGTTTTGGATGTCCTTCTTCTTGTAGATAAACTTTTTTAAATCCGTTGTTAAGATTTTCCTTCTTTATTACTCGCAAGCGTGTACCAGGCATCAATAGAACTTCGTTTTCGTTTGGACACTCGGAATAATTCCGAATCGCTCTTCCATTGATGCATTCAATTTCAAATATTGTATATACATAATTTCTATTGAGAAATACATCAAATATTGATTCAGTTCTTGTACATGAGCTGAATCCTGACCAGATACAATAATCTCTGTAATAACCAGTAATATCGCCTCGAGCAAATCGCCAAATGGTACCATTCACTGACGGTAGTTTGTTCAAAGCAGTCACAAAGAGTTGCAGATAGGAAAGCCAAGAAGTAAGCTCATCTTGTGTTCCTGATCGAAGTGTTCTGTTCAATTGAGTAGAAATAGCTTGCTCAGGTTTGCCCGACCACATCGTATAAAGATAAATAGCAGCTGCCTCATCAATAGTAAGAACACCTACTGAACAGGACATTATCCTTTTTGCTGTTAAAGCCATTACATCACAGTTGTATATTGGTGGTTCGAGGACTCTGATTGCCATTTCAATCGTTACCAATGATTCGTTTGCATAACGTTCAAAAGCTGACGATTTTGGTAGATATTCTTGCCCTGCATCAAAAAATCGTTCGGCTACATGCATCTCTTGTATGAATTCTTTCTCTATATGAAATACCACTGCTTTTTACTTTTACGCTCCCCAAAATGACTTGCAATGTATTCGCGGTCAACACAATTAAAAACAGAAAAAATAATAATAGTGGAAAGAAAGCATGTGGAAAGAAAAAGGCGAAAACATACATATCGCTCAACCCTGGCGATGTACACAATTGAAATTTGCTATCGGCGTATTGAAGAATATTTTGATTCGTTGCTTTTATTTACAGTTTCTCTTGCGTTGCCTTTCAATTATTAATTCATTTCTACCCTTAAAGCACTACAAAAGCATTTTCAATTGTTTTTGAATCTATAAAACAATCATATCTAACATGAGAAGGAATTTCATATACTTTTTACTTTGACTAGCGAATAACTTACTTTAAAAACAAAATTCAAATATTCATAGATCAAATCTATGTTAATATGATAATCGCTGAAACTCAGATAAGTATTAAATAAGGCCAAAGCTTAATGTGCCACACTGAGATGACACAAATTGTGCAAGAAAAGAATATTTTAATTTTAAATCTTATCGTTTGTGGTAGCTACATTATCGCTTGAGAGTAAATGAATGGTCATAATGATGTTAGTAGCGAGATAGCTGCCAGTGAAACAACCACACCTTTCCGTGCCAATAGGTACGACCAAATTTCTATAGAAAAGTACCAAAAATCAGTATTTCGACTGAAAATTTTCTAACCAAGAACTACTCCCAACTTCTTTCTGTTCTGTGTCCAGAATTGACGATCTGGCTTTAATCTGGAATGACTGCGTGCATTTTCCTCGTTGTCATTAGTACAACTAGAAGTCGATTGAGGACCTTCCGGTAAGAAGTTTCGTAAGCCCGTATGATCCTCCCTCAACAAATATCATTTTTTTCGTATGCTCAGGTAACTCTATGAATACATGAATTGATGTTTTAAATCATTCGAAGTATATAATTAAAAGGATTCATCTGCAATATAATTGTAGTAAAAAAAAACGTTTCTAATGTACTATAATATTTCCACGAATAAAGAACAATATATTACTGTATTTGCTTTGATCAGACTACTACACTATACAAATATATTTAAACAAGAAGCTCTTTGCGAAACTGATTTCAATCTATGTTAATTATAACAGATTCCAGATCATCTACACCTTTTCTAGATTTGTTACGGAATACGAGATCTCAGTAAATTTTAGAATAGTTGTATGCAGATTTTTCTAGTGAAATCTGGTACTAAAAACGTTTTTTAGCAAAGAGACAGAATGAATCTTCAAAATTTCTACAAAAGACGGTTATGATTAATTGGAAAAAAATTATATTATTCCGTCAATCAATGTCATATTTACTTATTATTCAAGTTTGACGGATGAGAATGATCAACGAGAATAAATTTATGCCTGACATTTTTGATAATATAGTAAAATACCACAAGGATTATTCTTTATTGTCACAATATACACCCAATCAATTATATGAATGTTAAAGTTATGATCTAAAACGACGCGTATTACCAAATATCATAGTAATAGTTTCTGATTGAATATGCAGTTATTTGCTTTCAAAGCATAGGCCATTGAGATTTTTCCTTCAAATTTTTTGAAACGAAACTGATCATCGTTCAGCGATTGCTGTAGGTTGGTAAAGCAATTCAACGGTACACTATCGAATTCTTTGAAGGTTCCAACGGTGAAGTACTGATCAAGTAGAACAGTGTAAATATCGGCTAAACTGTGATTCCATTAAGTTGACCTTTTCTCGATTCCTGCTGTGAGATCGGCATAAGTGCCTTTAGTGTATTCCACAACTAGAAACTTAATAAACCATAGTCCCTGCGGCGAACTTTATTTTTCAATCCCTTGGCTCTTGATTGAAATAGAAAATATCGAGATACTTGTTCGAATTTATCGTCTAATGTTTACAGCAGTGGGTGAAAATCGACAATGAAAAAATACTGTAGATTTTCGAGTAATCTCCAATGATCTGCGACTGTGTTTTCAATTCAGGCAACCATTTGACGGTATCAAATGATGTAACGACAAGATCGAATCCGTCTCCAACAGATATATGTGTTTCTAATTCATAAATATCACGACATACGAATTGTACTCGATCACTAAGATCCGTTTGTTCGACCAATTGTCGAGCTTTATCATCGCTACATCCGATAGGTCGACGCCAATTATTTTTTTTGCATCAAGTCGAGCTAGAGACACCGTATCAAAACTGAAATGACATTGCAAATGGAGGATACGCTTCTCAGTGATGTCACCGAGAAGTTCTAATTCGATAGGAGATAATGAAAGAAAATTTTATTCTCAAAAAATTCTTTAACGTTATAGTATAGCCACGTTGGTTACATCTCTAACATTCTTATCACTTGAAGTGTTTTCATGGCAACATTGAACTTATCATGTCATCTTCTGCCAGCAATCAACAGCAGAAGTTGTGAATCTTGTTACACGAAAAACAGTAAATATATATCACTGATACATCGAATTACTCGTTTTGATCATCTGCCAAGTGAATACATCATGGTGAATGAATAGCATTGGTTGACATATTACGGGCGAGATCGTCTTTTTTTTATTGATAATAAACTCCTTCATATTTTATCTCAGCAACGAAGGATGTTTGCATATTCGTGTGTTAGCTGTTTTTTCCGAATAGGCAACTGCACTAATTTTACGTCCAAACAGAATACTTATTTTCATACCGCCTCCCCTTTCATAATGCGATTAATTTCAAATATCATCTACCGAACAACATTGACAACCAACAACATAATTTGCAATACATACAAGACGTAGAAGCAAACACAGGAAAGCAGTGTTTTTCTAAGTTTTCTCTGCTCGATTACAGTTGCCATCGTTCTTTGAGATTTCATGAATCAATATGGCTTTAGAATACGATAGTCTATTGATTGATTCACTTCACAATAAGTTTCACTGTATGACATCGTCGTTTTTAAAAAACATTTCAAACATCCAAAAGATTATTTAAATGACTCAATTGAATTTAACAAGTATCAAAGTCAGCATAACTGTCTTGTGTGTTTCTTTCATTGATTTATTTATTCTATGTTAGTATTACTCTTCTCCGTCGTATGTAATATGTAACCACTATTTTTTCGAATCTTTTTCATTTTTATTCAGGTACATCAGGATTTATTCTTTGTCTAATTCTTTCGAAGTTCCCATTGCATTCAGTTAACAGTTAGTGTTGTTCATAGATCAAAGACAAAACTATTCATTTTCTATAAATAAGTCTTTTGAAATGTTAACCCTTTCTTCTGACAACGATGTGAAATATTTTTCAGTGTCACCTCTTCGTCTTCACCTGCCCGGCTATTCAATGCATAGTAGACCAGAATCGTAACTTGGTTTTATACCGTTGTTAGATGCTTCAACGAATGCCATAAATTATAAGCATTGTTTTGTTTTAAACTCAACAACATCATAAAAATCATTATACACTTTGATACAAGAACATGACTTGTCTTCTTCATGTGTTATCAGTACATGTTGGTTTATGATGGTAGACGTATCATCTCTTCGAGTTTTATAAAGGGCGCAAAATAGGTCTTTTTTATTCAGAAAGCGTTCCTCATTACTACAGAAAGTTGAGCTACAGCTTTCCAGAGAATTCTTTGTTCCAGTGAGAATAGTTTCGACGATAGTGAAGTTCTCTTCGTTTATAAGCATAAGCCCATGATTTTACACAAGTGATGATTGATGTCGATGCGGCTCCTTCAGAACTTTTCCATTTTAAAATAGCAGTGGATTGTGAATTTCAATGTAGTGATAGAAAGTTCTCTAACTAGACTGTTCGATAGTCACATCGGTACTAAAATCACTGAACGTTAACCACTGAAGGATCGAAACATTTATTTTCTCTATATTTCCACCAGTAAAATATAATTAAAAGCATTTTATTACTCCATTGAATTATCACAGCCTACTTCTCATCGATTAGAAATAGACCACATAAAGTTAAGTGACAGGTAAACGGAAAATTGAGTCGTTTAGAATAGAAAAATACAATGTTTTCAGTTAGGAATTAATCTAGCGATTCTGTCAAACCAAGTATGAACAGTCACTGTATACTATTTATTTCAGGCATCGAGTTGCTACGTGCTTCCAGGAACAAGAAACATTTATCACGATATTTCATCAAAGACAAATTCGATTCTCAAAAGAGTGAGGCCTATACTTTTCTCTATATTATCAACGAGCATTTATCAGCGTGTCTAGACAATCAAACTAATGAAATTAGAAGGTAACAATCAAAAAAGGGTATTTGTATTTTGAATTGCTTTCGATGAGTTAAGAAAGTCGACGGCGAATTTTTACGTCAAATGGCGAAGAAAAATTAAACAGGCAAGTAAAAATGTTGAAAATTTTGACGTATCTCTTTCATTCGAAGAATTAATGTGGATCAACGCAATCTTCGGTACGTATATGATTATGTGACGACGTTATTGGATTTGAGTTGGAGTTGGATTTTGTTATTGCTGGCAGTGACATTCGTCATTTCTTGGTTAGTATTCGCTGGAATATGGTTCGGTATCATGAAGATTCATGGTGATTTCGGGCCCATCGATCATGTAAATTGTGTTGACGGGGTGAAAACATTCACTGGATGTCTACTGTTGTCTATTGAGACTCAGCAAACAATCGGATATGGAACACGGTCGGTAACTGAACAATGTTCTAGTGGTCTTATACTTCTGGTAGTTCAAACATGTTTCGGCCTAATTCTTCAATCACTTTGGGTCGGTATTGTGTACACGAAATTGATCCGTCCCAAGAAACGTCGTCATACATTACTTTGGTCCCGTCAGGCTGTCATCAGCCTTCGTGATAAATATTTAACGTTACAAGTTCGTCTCGGTGAGATTCGAAGTCAGTCAATTTTACTCGATGCTCAAATTCGAATGTATTTCATCTCGAGACGGATCACTCAAGAAGGAGAGATTATTCCTCTAGACTTACTAGATATGAATGTTGGCTTTGATACTGGTCGAGATCGTCTCTTACTTGTATGGCCATTGGTTATCGAGCATCGAATCGATTCGAAAAGTCCATTATGGTCTTTGGATAGAGAAAAGTTAACAAGTGCTGATTTTGAACTACTAGTAGTTTTCGAAGGAGTAATCGAATCAACAGGCCTACTTACACAAACAAGACATTCTTACATTCCCGATGATATAGTTTGGGGAGCCAGATTCGAACCGATGTTGCGTAATGATCCGGACGCTCCATTGACTATCGATTACTCGAAATTTGATGCTCTCTATTGCGATACTTGTACCAAGCCATGTTCAGCAAATGAATTGTAGAAAAGATCATTCAGACGTCACTTTTGTTAATATGTCCTATTCTATAGTGGATACTTGTTCCGAATCGTTTTTCACTAGATGGTGTCTAGAATCTTTTTAAATTTTAGTCTTAAAAAGCACTTTTGTATCTATGAAAATTTAGACACTTACACTTTAAAAAAAATGAATAAAGTTACTGCCATTGTTTCTTCAGTATCTAACGTAAGAAATACTAAAATCAAGGTGCAGCAATGTTCCTGCCCCATCTATCAATTTGTTTGCGAAGTCATTCTTCTGCCGAAGCTGCAGTTTTTACTTTCAAAACAGTGCGAGATAGGTCTATATTTCGCTCAGATGATTGCATTCTTGTGAAGTTTTATACAGCAGTCTGGTGCAGAAAGGTGGCAAGTACATTTCGTAATTCGAAGATAGATCGGGATTTTTTTAATTAGAATTCAGCAATGGTTCGATTATGTTTAGTGATCTTATAAAAAATGTGTTGCAATGGATTTTCTCTTAATAACACGCTTAAACAAAATCATTTATTTGAATTATTTTTAAATCAAAAGTTTTAACTTATTCAGAACATGTAGAAAATGTTCGTTTAGCATTGTGTAATTATTTTTAACGAAATTAAATACTCAAATCTCATGAATTTGACTGAGTATTATGTTTCAATTCGTTGTTGTTGTAACTGTTTCCTTTATAAAAATATTTATATCGGTCAATATAGGCAATTTATCATTCGAAAATTTGTTATCATTCTCATTTCCTTTTATTTCTCAATATAAAATAAACGTGTATACAATACAGAAGTGGATGAATCTTCTTGTTTTTATCATCGGATAAAAACAATCTACATTGGATCTACAAGTCAGGGTTTTATTGTTCGTTACCGTAGTGTTCTATCTAACTTTTGTGTTTACCAGTCTGTTAAATACAGAGATTAATAGTATCTGTATTACGAACGTAATATACATCATCACTGATTTAGAACTATTCAGCATATAAAGATATCTCTGTTGAACAGTTTTGATAGTGTGACATTGTAATCTCCAAAACAAATTAGTTCAATTCCTCTATCAGTCGATCTAGATTCTAAAACCGATTTTCGCTTACATGTATTCTATTTTTCTTTAGTCTAGTGATGCTGACTATCTCATTCGATTTTTTCTCTATCGCCTTTAATATGCATCCAATATTTCGTTAAACTCTTCAGAATTTTTCTTCAGGTTTATCCAGATTAATTCTTTCTCTAGTTCTTGCATTCTTCCCAATATATTTAGTTAACATTTTGTGTTGTTCATAGATCAAAAGCAAAACTATTTATACTATAGTCGACCACAATCGTAATTTGATTATCAATAGTCGTCAAATGATTCGATGAATGTCATAAAATATAAGCATTGTTTTGTTTTAAACTCAACAACATCATAAAAATCATTATACACTTTGATACAAGAACATGATTTTCTTCTTTCTATGTTATCAATACATGTTCGTTTATTATGATAAACATTTCATCTCTTCGTTTTTTATAGAGGGCACAAAATAGGTTTTTTATTCAGAAAGCGTTCCTCATTACTACAGAAAGTTGAGCTACAGCTTTCCAAACAATTCTTTGTTTCAGTGAGGATAGTTTCAACGATAGTGAAGTTCTCTTCGTTTATAAGCATAAGCCCATGATTTTATACAAGTGATGATTGATGTCAATGCGGATCCTTCAGTACTTTTCCTTTTAAAAATATCAGTATATTGTGAATTTCAATGTAGTGATAGAAAGCTCTCTAACTAGATTCTTCAATAGTTACATCTGTATTGAAATCACTGAATGTTAACCACTGAAGGATCGAAACATTTATTTTCTCTATATTTCCACCAGTAAAATAGAATTAAAAGCACTTTATTACTCTATTGAATTATCACAGCCTACTTCTCATCGATTAGAAATAGACCACATAAAGTTAAGTGACAGGTAAACGGAAAATTGAGTCGTTTAGAATAGAAAAATACAATGTTTTCAGCCAGTCATTAATCTAGTGATTTAGTCGAATGAAGTATAAATACTCACTAAAATATTTCTTTCAGACATCGATTTACTACACGCTCCCAACAATAAGAAGAAACGACTATAATCAATACATCATATTGAGTAAGATGTCATGTTTTACTCATAGTTCATCAAAGTCATATTCGATTAATCTAGGTTCAATTCAATCATTTATCAGCGTATCTAGACGATCAAACAAAATGAAATTAGAAGGTAAAAAAGAAAAAACGATATTTGTATTTTGAATTGCTTTCGTTGAGTTAAGAAAGTGGACGACGTATTTTCACGCAAAACGGTGAAGTGAAAATAAACAGGTAAGTAAAAATGTTGAAAATTTGAACTCATCCGTTCCATTCAAAGAATTAATGTGAATCAACGCAATCTTCGATACGTATATGATTATGTGACGACGGTGTTGGAGTTGAGTTGGGGTTGGATTTCGACATTTCTGACAGTGACATTCGTCATTTCTTGGTTAGTATTCGCTGGAATATGGTTCGGTATTATGAAGATTCATCACGATTTCGAAAGAGTTGATCATGTGCCATGTGTCAATGCGGTGGCAACATTCACTGAATGTTTACTTCTGTCAATTGAGACTCAACAAACAATCGGGTATGGATCACGTTCGGTAACTGAACAATGTGCAAGTGGTGTTGTACTTCTGATAGTTCAAACATGTTTCGGTTTAATTCTTCAATCTCTTTGGGTGGGTACTTTTTATAAGAAGTTTATTCGACCGACGAAGCGTGGTCACACATTACTTTGGTCCCGTCGGGTTGTCATTAGTCTTCGTGATAAGTATTTAACTTTACAAGTTCGTCTCGGTGAGATTCGAGACCAATCGATTTTACTCGATGCTAAAATTCGAATGTATTACATCTCGAAATCTACCTCTGAAGAAAAAAAGAATGTATCTTTGAATTTTCTGGGTATGAATTTAGACAGTGATACGAGCTCAAATCGTACCTTGCTGATATGGCCATCAATTATCGAGCATCGAATCGATTCGAAAAGTCCATTATGGTGTCTAGATAGAAAAAAATTAGCAAATAATAATTTTGAATTATTAGTAACGTTCGAAGAAAAAATCGAATCAACAGGCCTACTTACACAAACAAGACATTCTTACACTCCCGACGACATAGTTTGGGGAGCAAGATTCGAACCAATGATTCGTAATGATCCAGGAGCTCCATTGACTGTCGATTACTCGAAATTTGATGCTCTCTATTGCGATACTTGTACCAAACCATGTTCAGCGAGTGAACTGTAGAAAACATCATTCAGAAGTCCCAAATATTCACACCAAAGCTTTCTCACGAAGTGACCCTGGGGATTTTTGTTTTACAATTTTGTTCTCTCGTAGCTTCCATATGTATTTGACACAATAATGAGTTTTATTCCTGCTCCGAATCAATTAAATAACTAAACTTGCTTTATCTTAGTGTCAATAATAGTTGAGGATGACTGTTGATTATGGGTATGCACGGTAAACAAAACGAAGATATTTAAAGAACACTTTAGAAAGTATGCAGGAATTACTGAATTCAATTTTTTTCATTCGACACACCTTTCATTGCTGTTTGATCGATGTAATACTCGTTTTCGATTAACACGATTGGCTAGATATACGCACGGTTTTGATAGATGTCATTGCTTGCAGGATTGACTTGCATTGCATCATTATGAAGTAATGTAATTTCGAATTTGAGTGGCGAATGTGATTGTGTTGCTGGAACATTATGCATAGCAATGTGGCGCAGAAGGTAGCGCGTTGGTCTCATAATCCGAAGGTCGGTAGATCGAAACTACCCGTTGCTACGATCATTTTTGCTGCTATATGAATGATCTGACACGAGAAGCCTACTTGCAATAATCTATTTATCTTATTCAATAGTTTTTAAGAGTGTGTTGTGTCTCAAAGCTCAGCTTGCGACGTGATGTGATAGGTTTATTTGACCGTGAGTGAGTGCCATGACTGAACTTTATATTAAATTCAGATGAAGAGATAAAACTAAAAAATCCAATGCAACTGTTGTAGTGAGTATGACATTTTGAAACATCATGAAAGAAATGAACTCTTTAATTCGTGTCTCTAAGTATCAGCATATAGTGAGTATTGATAAATTTGATTGTTCTCTTTGTGAATACTTTTAAATGAATAGAACTCATGGACACTAGAACAAGCAAGTTGCAATTTTCTGATTGATTCAGTCAACCGAGTTAGCAATGTGTAGAAAATTTACAATGCACTGATATTCAAAATGCTAATGCTAAATATGTTGCATTGGTTTAAAAAAGATTGAAAGAATATGGCTAGCAACAAACAATTAGTCATTATTTTAAATATCGTGAATCATGTGAAATTATTGAAATGCTAATTATAATAATCTTCGTCTCAGTTATTACATCAGATGACTTGAAAATCCATTAAGTGTCACTCTTGTAGGATTTATTTCATGTATGTCTACAGTTTCGAATAGTTAGGCAATGGATTATCGTTAATAAACTTGACGAGATGTTGAACAATATTCTGTGGCTGGTCTTCTTGTAAAAAATGACCAGCTTGAGTAATTGTAGCATGTGCTTGATTCTTAGCCCCGGGTATTAACATTTGTAAAAATTTCTCTGCACCAGCTGTGATAGGATCTGAATCGGAAAATAAAGTTAAAAATGGTTTATTAAATGTTTGCAAATTCTCCCATGCATCACGATTATATTGCGATGATGGATCATCAGGTGTTGTTGGTACCAGTTGTGGAAATACTAATGCACCAGCTTGAAACTTTTCATCTGGAAATGGAGCATTATAGGCGACAATTTCGGCTGGCTTCATTTCTCTTAAAACTGCACGTTGTATTATTGAGCCAACATCCATTTTAGTTTGTTCCGATGCAAATTGTTGCCATCGAAAGAAGGCATCGGAAATTTGCTGATCACCTGTTGGTAATCCACCATTGCCAACAGCAACACGTGCAAAACGATTACTTATTCCATTTGTGCCAACTAATTGTAAACCAATCAAACTACCCCAATCCTATGACAGAAATGTAAAAGAAATTTGATTTTATCCTCCATACAAAAATAAACGATAGTGTTGAATTTCAATGATGTTACTCCTTGCAACACGAAAGACTATTTATTTGTACGGAGTTGATCGAAAGATAACGAATTTCCGATAAAGTGATGATAAATAAATTATAAACATTTTGATTATATTAAAGTTATTTAACAAAGGATTCAAGTATTTTAATATGAACAAAGTAACAGATCAATAAAAAATCATCATAATTAGAGCATTCTAGCAACACCGACTCATCCATTTATAGATATAAAGATTTGTGAGAGCCAGTTCTAAAAAAAACTTCGTTTTTGCAACTCTATCTTGGTGTCATTGTTTCGATTTCTATGATTAGCGAAGTGCTAACAGTGCTCTTGAAGAACCTAAGGTCTAACGATACTAACAAAATTTTGAACTGAATTTGATATAATCCTGTCTATGAAGTCTGCTCATATAGTTAACTCACAATAGGTTGCCTATTAAATTAAAATTTTTGTAATTCTCGTGCTAATATTAAACTCTAGAAATCAATGCTACAATTTTTGGAGACAAAAAAAAATGTGATTACCCTATTCCTTGGAATATATTTTATTCACATGAGACTGTTATATAAATAACTACGAAAATGATTGATTGTATTTTTCTTAATCTCATCTTCTCTCATATAATCTAAACGGCTATATATGTATACACTCCTGACTCAGGCTTACCTGACAAAACAATGTAATATTATTTAAATTTAAACATTCAATTGCTTCTTTTATCCAGTTAACATGTCTTTGGTAGGTATAATCGACCTTCTTTACTGGTTTATCCGATTTTCCAAATCCGATTAAGTCCATAGCAATTACTCGATATTGTTTTAACAGTGGTATAAAATGACGATACAAGTAGCTCCAACTTGGTTCACCATGTAGTAACAAAATTGTTTCTCTACTATTCTTATCTCCTTCATCTAAATAATGTAAACGTAATTTTGTTTCTCCATCTCCTATATCGCCTGGATTTGATAGATAAATATAATTTGGTTTAAATGGGTAATCTAATAGATCGATGAAAACGGAATCAGGTGTACGTAAAATACCAGTATTGGATGACATCATGCAAATTCAGTGTGTGAAATGAAGCTCTAAAGATAAATGATAGGTAAATATTCAAAATCAGTCGGACTGTATACGTTGTTTGATATTTATGCAACTTAATTTTCTTCTGTCTCCAGTGATTTCACGTTAAATGAAGCCTGTTTATACTAGATAAAGTCTTATCTTTGAAAATTTCATTGCAAAAAAATAAGCAACGAAATGCAGTATTTTTATACTTCGTTATATAGCATCAGCAGGAATGAAGAGAAAGATGTAGAAAGAAGAACACAAAACGATTTTTAAAATACACTGCATATTTATATCTATAGTTTATCACAGTGCTCAGAAGAAGATTGCGTCAAAATTATTCGAAGTTTTTAACAGGCTAAGAACTGGATAGATTTAACTTCTTCTATCTTGAAATCGTGTTAGTTTTATCATTTCAACATAGGAAAAGGAGTTACTCTGAAGATTATTTGTTGACATAGAACCTGATTTTTTTAACTTTCTTGATTACCTCAGTTTCACTTGTTTAACAAAAAACGATCGAATCAAAGAATATAATCTTTGCTTCGCACCTTTTATTAATTGCCAATGATGACAGAAAATGAACTATTATTGTTGATATACTAACAAAATACTCCTTCTTTTTTCTAATCGACCCTCGTATTAGACTGAACTAAACTGTATGCTTAAACTTTTATGTATTATCAACGCTATTCCAGCGTATGCAAAAACTTGTGAGTTGTCTATAATCTATTTACATAGTTCACTCCTCATTTTCATAAGTGTTGAACAGACGTCTTTTTCGTACTGCTCACACATTCTAACACAAGCTTGGTATTTTCGATAATGATAGCTTGAACTATAGGCATTGATGCCTTCAAGCTCTCCTCTTTCACCGAGTTCTGTTAAAGACTCAAAAAAAAATAGAAAGGTCAAATCAACGCAAGAAAAAGTTACAAATAAAAGAAAAGAAGATCAAGAACAAAATGAAGCTGACACCAACACAACGACTACTAATAGTCAACAAAATCAACCTAACACGAATTCAATAGAAAAGCTATCAATTTCACCGTTGAAAAAAAATCAACATGACCAAACGATCGAGGTAAATGGTCAATTATATGCTCCAGTTTAACGGGAAAATCTAAAGTCAAGTCAAAGAAAGGTTTTCAACAATTAAATAAAGTGATTGGTGCTCAGGTCCTCCAATGATTTGGAGTGACCATCATGCAAAGGAAAATATTAACTGTACAACTACAGATACAATTCCAACGCCAGTTAACTACTGCTATCTTCAGGAATCAAATATATCAACACCGAAAAGAAATATTGAACAACTAAATAGATCAAATGAACATAGAAAGAAGATTCGTCATGATGAAATAGCTGCAGATAAACATCAACATCATCAAAATATTATAACAATTGATCAAGGCTATAAGACGTTAGATACACCAAATGCACAACCAAGTAAAACTCATGCACTACCTTTCGAGCAGCTAAAAAGAGCTGTAGGTCACAATCTACCTTGTTTCTTAATCGACTTCGACAACAATATAGCTCCACGGCAGCTGCAATCGGCAATTATTGCGTGTGATATGATTCAAGACCACTTTATAAAAAACAAACTCTCTATAAATGATTTCTCAGTTGCTTCATTTATTGGCCATCGATTGAAATTAGGTGTCAACAACATGGCAGATTATTCTAAACTTATTCGTACCGACAAATGGCCATCAACAATAAATGGAAAGAAAGTTTCGATAGTAAAACCGAAATTTGTTCCTGAATGTTTTACTCTCGTAGTACGTTATGTTCCACGACAAGTCTCAATTGGTTTAGTTACTGAAGAAATAAAACGGTCAATTAGCTCGGCAGACAATTTTAAGCAAATAATATATTCCTTTAATCGTCCGACAAACGATTATAGATTTACAGTTGCTGATCTAACAGAATTTGAAAGCGCTTTAAAATTTGGTCGGTTGTATATTGCAAACAGATTTCATCCAATCACTCAGTATCTGCTCTGGTATATCACAATGTTCTCAATATGGACTGAATCACCACTCTCTTGATCCAATGTGTAGTTTAATTCAGAATTACAGACTAAAACTTGACTATGAAGTCAAGCAGACAGTGCAAGGTGGTAAGCTTATTAGAAGAGTGGTTCAACGGTACCATCATCAACAACCAGTACGTCCTCTTGAATCAACATCACAATATGATACAAATTTCCCACCATTACCAAACAACAACAACAATATATCGCAAATCAACAAACCAGTTAATAAAGGGTGGTCAGGTAGCTACTCTCAACTCATAACAAATGCCGTACCTATGGAATCTAACACATTAATTAATATAATAGAGAAAACGCGTCAAGAGTTAAAAAAAAGATATTTCTTCATTAAATGAATCGATCATACAAAAATTTGATGTCAAAATAGAATTAAACTCAAGTAACATTCAATTACATCAATCTATCTCAAATAAACTCAGCGATGTTATCATTATTGAAAAAGCTTGTTAGCGTCGCCCCTTTGGGGCTAAAATGTGGAACTCACATATGATTTTTCGCCTAATTTACTTATGCATAATGTGTGGTGCGAAATTTTCTGCAAGAAAATCGACCGATAGAAAAAAATATCTTATTTAGTTTTTGCATGCTTGCCAATATCTGTAATGCAAGGCAGTGTAAGGGGGTCCATAAGGAGGCGTGAGGGGGTCTCTAGGGAGGGGGTGGGGAGCCGAAAAAATCTCGCTTTTAAACTTGCACTCACCATTTTCTTCGAAAATGTATGCGAGTTCCACAAAAAATAAAAATAAATTTATTCAATTGCTCTGAATGTTCAAAAATCAGCATTGGTAATCAGGAAAATCAAGAATTAGAATTGTGCACTATTCAGATTGCTATTGACGTTTCATCATATAATTTACTGTCATAGTATTGCATTTTACCTACTGATGAACTGACCATATCAGTTTTCGGAAAATAAGAGAAGAAACGAATTGAAGAAGAAGACAAACAAGATTATCTGGTATTTTGGCTATTCTAAGATGTGGGGCTACCTTCAAGAGACGTTTCCAGAGTTCAATAATTTCCTTTATGGATATGAATGACACAGTCAGCTTGGTATCGAATGGTCAATCGTAGGCAAGGCAGGCATTTGCGATTTATCCAAGGTAATAATATGACTATTTCAACCGAGTTTTTAACACAGTGTCTTGTAGATATGTGTATATACAATATCAAATAATTTGTAGTCTGAATTATTATGAACGAAATTTTATTGAAAAATATTAAACAAGCAAGAACGACAGGGAAATAGTCATTTTTTATGACTAGTAAGGACAATGTTAGTAATGAAATACAGTGAAAAATATGCGAATGTACCGAAAACGAATATTTATCTAGAAGTTCAGTCTTGAATATGATATTTTCTCATTCATTGATAAAATTTGACGAAAATAAATCAAAATAATGAAATGCCAGAGTCATTCATCATAAGTCTACATACAGTGGTCTCGTTGAAACTTAATTAAATGCTAAAAAAAATTGTCGAACTAGGACTGTTATTTCCTTACATTGGAGCTATATTCGGGTTCGATACACAACAGTATGAAGATCATCATGGTGAATCTCGCTACTTGTTATGACTGAAATGTTCCCCTTCGATCATAAGACGGAACAAACGAATATACACGCTCCCTTCTAGTACAATGGTAGTACAGCTGCCCGGAAAGCAGAAGACGTTGGTTCGATTCCATCGGAGGGAGATTATCCTTTTGTTCCGTTCTGTTGTCATACGATCACGTTGCTGTCTCGCTGATCACTGCGTTTAATAATGTGAGAGAAAAGAATATATAACAGTGACTATCTACAATATCGGCCGGCGTATGATTCACCAGTACATACTGATTTCTCGTTATCGGTCAAAAGTAAAACGGGCAAGATGCCGAATGGCAAAGAAATTCAACAGCGTGTCGCACCGAGGATTTACGATATCTTCAGCTGCTTGAAAGGCTGCGTCATAGACAATGCGATTACGACGACTATGAATTATTATAGACACTAGTAGCAGTTGGGCAACCATCCGTAGGGTCTCGGCGTAATTCACCATGGAAAAAAAGTAAATTTTATTCCGATTTGAAAAAATACTGCATTTTCCTCTGTAGGCTCCCATTCGGCTGTTTTAAAATGAAATACGAACACAATTAAAGTGCCAGGTCGCGGTTCACAGAGCAGTACACCTGAAATTGAACTCGATAGTGTGCGTAGCTCAAGACACATGCAAAGGTAAACCAATCGAAGATCCAACACTTATAAAGAAGCTGCTAGAATTATCCGACAGCAAAGCTGAGCATTTACCAGGTCTGCTGCTTCTGGTTTCTGGAATAATTGTTCCCCCGACTGAAAGAATGGTCATACGCCTACAAAGAGTAATTTGTATAATGGGAAAATATTTCAGGTCGAATAACTTCTTTCTTTTGATTTTTTTCAATACTATTCTTTTCGTACTCGTAATTTTGAGTAATATACTAAATGGTTCTTCAGATTGCAATGAATTTCTTGTGACTCTAAATTTTTAAACAAATTTTTTGCATGCTCAGTATCATCACACAAAGTCTCTTTCGTTTCATCTAATTCAAGAGAAAAGATTTTTCATTCTTTTTAGTTTCCTCTAATCGGGCAGATAGCTTTCGTGCTTCAACGTATCTGGACAGAATCAGAACTAAAAGAAGTTTTACAAAGCTTCGTTTTTTCTGAAGAAAATAGTGAAACCGTATAAAAAAAAAGCAAATAAAAAGAAATCATGGACATGAATTCAAAAGGATAGCCACATTGTTATCTTGATCATTCGTTACCGCTAGGTCCAGTTTCATATCATTGTTAAAATCACTTGCTGTTACAGCATAAGGATGAGATCCCGTGGTCGACTTGATAGGGTCATGAAATGTTCCATCTCCATTACCAAATAGAATGCTAATACTAGTGTCATAATTGTTGGCAACTACTATATCAAATTTCATGTCGTTGTTGAAATCACCTACTGCTACAGATTGGGCAATATCGGCGATGTCATATCTTTTTTCTTCTTGAAACGTTCCATCTCCATTGCCCAGTACAATATAGACTGTACTACCCCAACCAACAGCTGTTAGATCCAAGTTAGTATCATTGTTGAAATCAGCCGCAGCTACAAATATTAAACCACTATCAACTGTATACGACATTGGACGCTGAAATGTTCCATCACCATTACCAAGCAGAATACTCATACTTACAGAATAGCTGTTGGCTGTTATGAGATCCAATTTATTATCATTGTTGAAATCATCTACAACCACACATTTGGGATATAAACTAGCTTCATACATATCTTGATCTTGAAACGTTCCATTTCCATAGCCAATCAAAATACTAACGCTGTTTTCGCCTTCGTTTGTTGTTACTACATCTAATATAGTATCGTTATTGAAATCACCGACGGCTATATAACTTGGATTAGGGCCAACTCTATATTTCTTTTCCTTTTGAAATGTTCCATCTCCATTACCGAGTAGTATACTGATACTACGATTACCATGATTAGCTGTTATTACATCCAATTTAGAATCATTATTGAAGTCGCCGATGATGACAGATTGTGGTTGAGGACCGACCCTATATTTCGTTTGATTCTGAAACGTTTCATCGCCACCACCAAGTAAAATACTGATACTATCTTCGCCACTATTAGCTGTTACTAGATCCAAAATCGTATCATTGTCAAAATCACCTACAGCTATAGATACTGGTACTTTGCCAGCTTTATAAGTTGTAGGATTCGGAAAGGTACCATCTCCATTGCCGAATAGTACTATGATATTGTCAGAACCACCATTAGTCACTACCAGATCTAATTTGGTATCCTCATTGAAATTTCCCGATATGAGTGACGTTGGAAAAGCGTCAGCAACGTATGTCTTCTGATTATCAAACGTACCATCTCCATTACCAAGTAATACACTGACAGTGTTTCTCATTTGGTTGTTTATTGCTAGATCCAAGTGATTATCGTTGTTGAAATCTCCTACAGTCACAGTCTGTGGATAAGCGCCAACTCGATAGGTCTTTTGATGTTGAAAGGTGCCATCGCCGTTTCCAAGCAGAATACTGATGTTATTCGCATCTTGGTTAACTATCACTAGATCCAGTCTATTATTATTGTCAAAATCACCTATAGCCACAGCCTTTGGCGTAGAACCAACTTCGTATTTCTTTTGATGTTGAAATGTACCATCTCCATTATTAAGTAGAATACTGATACTATTCTCATTGCTATTGACTACTGCTAGATCCAATTTGTTATCATTGTTGAAATCACCTACAGTTAGAGCTTGTGGATGAGAGCCAACTTCATATTTCTTTTCGTTCTCAAATGTTCCATCTCCCTTACCAAACAATATACTAATAGTCCTATCATCGTTGTTGGTTGTTGCCAGATCCAGCTTAGTATCATTGTTGAAGTCTCCTACTGTCACACAGGCTGGAGAGGTACCGACTGAGTATTTCTTTTCATTCTGGAACGTCCCATTGCCGTTGTTAAGTAGAATACTGATGGTATTCTCAGCTTGATTGGCTGTAACTAGATCTAATTTAGCATCATTATTGAAGTCACCTACAGTTACAAAGACTGGAAAAGCGCCAACTGCATATACTACTTGATTCTGAAATGTCCCATCTCCATTATTAAATAGGATACTAACACTACCTAAAACATCGTTGGCTATTGCTAAATCTAGTTTGGTATCGTTGTTGAAATAACCATTAATTATAGAGACTGGATTTATCTGCGTAGAATATCTGTTATTCGGGCCGAATGGAGTTTGACAACCGGATTCTAAAACAAAATGATAGTTGTGAAAAAGAGGTGCAATGAAAAAAACAAATTATTTATGATAATATTGAATGAATGAAGTCAAATTTAAAGTACTCACTGCATAACTGCATTTTTCAAAATATGCTTAATTAGGTGTTATGAAAACTTACGTGCTAGATTTTCAATCGTTGTGTTGATATTCAATAAAATCAGGAATATCAATAAGATAGAAACCATGTTGAGTTAGGGGAAGAAAATAAATCGATGCAAAGTTTCTTCTTCATTGATATATTTCATCTGCACTCTTCTGACTATTAATCCATGAACAAACGCATCTTGGCATCGATTTCATTTAAGCCATCTAATTTCTTTTAAATTTGATATGAAAATCAAGAAAAAAACTTCTTGAATTTTCTCCATTTTGTAAGTGTCTTTTTTCAAATAAAACAGCCTATATTTGTTTGAAAAATACTTCATCTTTTATCAAATAGAGGCTACATTGTTCATTTTTCCATAATAAAAAATATGCATATCCACCAAATGGAATAATTTCTTTTAAGAATAATGTAGAAATACTCATAGTTTATACTTAAAAGAAAGTCGTTTAAAACTGCTGCTTCAAATTATCACTCTTAACGATAGTATGACACAGCATCGAGCTTTCATTGATACTTTCTCTTTCTTTGTATATATTGTAACGTTACTGATTGAGTGCATTGTATGGATGCGTTTTATTTTCTTTTTGTCCTTACTTTATACTTTTCACTTTATACTGTATGATGCCCTTAAAATGCCATGTAACAATAGTATAAAAAAGCGTATCTTTTGTCTGTAATCAATGCGATTGATCATAGGTAGAATCGAATAAAACTAAATATACTCATCAAGCCTATTTCTTCCATCAAAAATCGTCACATATAGGTTCCCATTTTCATTCTTAAGTAGTTAAATAAATCAAGCAAGATCATAAAATCGACTTGATAATGATGCTTTGATCGACTTTCTTCTAATTACAGCATCGTTGAAGAGTCAACTATAAATTATTTAATTTATTCATAACAGAAATAGAATCATTGTCAGTCTCTTTTTTTTAAAGATTTAAACTAAATCGTTTATTCTTGATGATTGGAGGTGGTCCTTGGATTGTATTAGAAAAGAATATTTTACTATAAAATAATAGCCTTGAAAAGCTTAGCGATGCGAAATCAATGATCAGAAAAGAGCAAAACAAAATCTTCTGAAATTTTGGACAGTAAGCAGCCTTCTATTCCTTCAGCTGTAGGAACGGTCATATGAAATAAAATAAACTTGTCTGTGTGGCTGTGTCAGGGTAAAAAAACATCTATGAAGCGTTAGCTTATTTTCAGGTTTTTCGGTCTTCTGATGATCCTTTGCTATAGGTAGGTTATCGAGGTTGGTGAATCCGAATCCATGATCAGATTCTTTAAACATATATTCCTCATTTTTTTTTAGAACAAAGAAAGACTTTTTCTAGAAAAAAAATGATTTTTTTATAAAGTTTGATCTGAGATAATTGAGGTTGGAAAATCCGAATCCGTTATCGGTTTTTCGGTCTGAGTTTCCATCGATCAGAAGCTGAACCAGCGAAATGTTTTATTCCGTCGACTCTAGAGAGGGTTATATGAAATAAAATGAGCTAGCGTGTTGGTGTCAGAGCCAAAAGTCAAAGGTTAAATTTACCACTGATAATTCTCATTTAAGAAACGTGTGCTTTAAGAGTGAAACTTAGTCGAACCGCTGAGTAATCAGATAGAGGGACCCAAAAAGTGACCAATCTGATTGAGGAACCAAATTTCGACTAGGTAGAAGAAGTAATATTGGAGCAAAAGCTATCCAGGTTGAGAGATCCAAATCTGCAGTTAGTTTCTCAAAGGACAAGTGGCGGTAAGGCCATTGTTCATCACCCAATCTTTTTCGTTAAAAACCACTTATTCATAGCAAGTCGACCACGGGGAACATGTTTTGTGACAGGATTTTGAGAAAAATTCATCAATCGATTTTTCCGACCTGAGCCCCCCTCCCCCTCATGGATTGGTCAAAACATATTTGTCTCTTTTTCTTGAAATAAGCATATCATTCGATGCGAAATGTTATGCTGATCACGAATATCTACTTTAAATTTTGCAAATATAAAGTCTTGTCACGGTAAATTAGGTTTTCCAGCGAGAATGGGATTTCAATGGGGACTTTCTTCTATCCATCACTCGGCATGGGTGAATCCACGGGAAACGTACCACGCTTACATCGATTTTCTCCAAATTTGATGAAACTTTCAGGGTTTGTAGAACTCGGCGAGCTGATCATTTTAGTATGCAAATGTTATACGTTTGATTGTATCATCAGGTCGAAATGGGCAAAATACGTTTTTTAGGAATTTTGAAAAAATCATCACCGAAACGGAGGGGGTGTGCATTTTGTGACACGATTTTCTATTTCACTTTTCAATGAAAACTAAACATTCTATATATTTTTTGATAGCTCAAGATCAGCTCTATCTAACTGTATATGAATCAGGAAGTTCAACTTCCGAAGTGGAACTTTCTATGGCAACAATTGTCTCACAGTACATAGTAAACTTTCGCTCCGAATAAAAAATCTCTTCCGAATTTGGGTGAGTTATGCCCAAGGGGGAAACATGATACTTTTGTACTTTAAAGTACGGTAAAGTATCTTGAATTATCTTGAAGTATCTTAAAGTACCTTAAAGTACGGAAAAGTAATTTAAAGTACGGTAAAGTAAGGTAAAGTACAGTGAAGTATGGTGAAGTAGAGTAAAGTATCTATTGGATTGGTGTAAGGCAAAAGTAGCCAAGAACCAACTTTTTTAGGTACTTTTCCTACTTTTCGACTAGAAATAGTATTAAATACTAGTGAAACTCTGAAAAAATAGTAGAATTCGCTAGGAAAAGTAAAAATAGGAATAAAATAACATTTATTTTGGTGTATTAATATTAAAAGAACTTGATATATTATTTTTAAAAGCTAATGTTTAAAAAAAATTTAAGTGCTTTTAATGTTAATACAGCAAAATTAATTATATTTTATTACTATTCACTTTTCCTAGTGAATTTTATTATTTTTCCATACCTTCACTAGTACTTAATATAGTAATTTTTAGTGGAAAAGCATGAAAAGTACTTAAAATTTTACTTATAAGTAACTTTGGCTTGGTAAAAAAATTTCTAAAAGGACTATTAAGTCGATTTTTGGCTACTTTTCTTTTATATGGAAATATTATATCAATTGAACTGCCGGATATGGCACGATAGTTTTTTCCATAAATGGTACACCCCTATATACTTTTACAATAGAAATTTCTTAGCATTTTGAAGAGATTGAATCTTTAAGTTAAGTTTGTTGACTAGTGTTTTCATCTAGGTCAGGGAAGTTAGCGTTGTCTTGTTTGGAAACTAATGGCGGAACATCCCATGTTTCCAGTAAGAGAAGGGTGCTTCGATCAGACAGTGATTCTTCATAAAATTTGACCGGAGGTAATCGGGATCGGTGAATCAGAATTTGTAATTTGTTTCTCAAAGTTTCACACCACACATTCTAGACAAGGAAGGGCATTTCGAGAAGAAAATGATTTTTGATAAAATTTGATCGACGGTTATCGGAATCGAAGAATCAAAATCTGTAATCGGTTTCACCATATTGTTCCATCCGATTGCTCAATTACAAAATGAAATCTCGAAGAAATGATGATTTTCAGTAAAGCCCTATCAACGGAAATCGAGGTCGAGTAATCCTTGCTTGCAATCAGTTTCTTACTAGAGAGTTCATGAGAGGACCCAGAAACCTAGGCACAAATCAATTGTTAAGATTCGTATTTTTTATGCGCATTCGAAGACCATCATCTAGATTCACTTCACACAAATCTGTAGATCCTTTGGGTGCTCTGTAGCGGAGTTAGTACAGATTAACTTTTAATACTACTTACGAACTATCCGAAGAATAGCGATAGATTGATTCATCAATATTCACTGAGATTGTACTTCAATAAATTAGAGATTTTTTTTCAAGTAAAATAGCAAAAAGTTATAGTATCAAAAGCTGAATGAAACCAGCTATTTTAAAAGCAGAATTTCATTCATGTAGTCGGAATTATATCAATCTAACACGAGTGGAGTTGCTTTTAATTTATGAGTGCTCAACAACACATTTTTGAGTGTATCTACTGCCATTTTTTGAAATAAAGAAAAGATACGATTCATTTGCTATTTACAACATGACTACTGATTCTTTTTTTATAATGGTAAGAATATGCTGAAAGAAAGTTAATTTTTCAGGCAAAACGGCATCCACCTATCTCCAAAATAGTGCAGAAGCTCAAGTGACTTTTTTAATAAGAAGAAATAACTTTAAACAGTTCTCATCTTAACAACACGATTGTAAGGCAAAAAATGTGACATCTTCAGCCAGTATCAAAACTGCTTTGGATCAAATTAATTATAGAAAAAATATTTTTTCTCTGAAAAAGTAACTTCTGAGACCATCACAGAGCAAAACTACAATACAATGCAGTCTTTGGGATAATAAGGTGATTTTTCATAGGAAAAACGCTTCACTATAATGTATTTTTTCTCAATGTAGTTTTAGATGCTGGCCTCGAATATAACATTTGTTTTTCTTTAACATCGTGTTTTGGTGATAAAAACTATAAAAATTAATTTTTTTCTATTGCGAGAACCATAAAAGCTCAAGAGAAGAAAAGCTGATTGCTAAGATTATTGATGATTGGCGTCGACTACTGTCCACTTTTTTACTATACAATGGCCAGTGTAAACTTTTTCTGGAAATACTTTTGGTTTCCATCATTCAGGAGAATGGTACTCATATTTTATCAGTGAACTGATTCTTGGATTAGTAATGGTCGCTCTGATCGCAATCAGCTTTCCGAACCTTGTCAAAACTCAGTATTTATAAGGGAGATGTGACCGATCCTTATACTCGAAAAGTTAACTTTGTTTTCAATATATTTTTACCATTTTGCAAGTAAACAAAGGCTACAGAGCGTATGTTAAAATTAACCGTAGCAGTTTAGATTTCAAAAATCCCAATACGTAGATGTACTGTGAAACTTAATCACTATGTGTTCATAGACTCAGATATACTGCACTTACATTGGAATATACGTATATTTGCAGTGAATAGATGCTACAAAGTACTTGATATAGATAATTTTTTTCAACTTTCATACTATATCGCTTGGTATATTTCATGAAATAATTGTCTAACTGCTTGAAGTATAATCGTCGTAAGCATTTACGGCTCAATTTATCACTATTTATGGATATGATTAGGTAGGTTGCGTTAAAAAGTCTGCCTAATCCGCTTTGCTATACAGCATCCAGATGAATTGAAGATTTGAGTTTGGTAGTTTTCGATGAAGGTACTTCGAAGTAGGAATGCACTAATTCCTAAGGTATGACATGAAAGATGACATTTTTTTCTTATTAGGAATAATTTTTTGCGGGTGTCTTATCGCAATCATGATCAGTGTTTTTTCATCCCATCCGCCGTTTAAGTCAGAATTCATGAAACATAAAGCGAAAGTTTTGGAGTTGATATGAAATTCACTGAAAATTAACATTCTTAATATTCTTTCGACCAATGTCTATCGACTCCAATTAATTTTTAGACTTTTGTCACAGACAAGGGGGAAGTATCTGTGCGTTTCTTGTTTAAGTAAAAATAAAAGTACAAATACATACTTTAAAGTACAAGTAAAATACTTTTACTTGTTGTACTTTTACTTGTCCCAGCTCTTCTGTGTTCTCTATTAGAGAAAATTTCAGAATATATTTGGAAAGAGCAATCAAGGCTGAACACAACTGGCACGAAGAATCCCTGGGAGTCAGAGGGTACACAACACTGGATATGTATTTTTGTAAGTAGGAAAAAACAATTCCTTGAGTTTCTAACCCGAGGTTTACATATTTCCGGTGTTGAGATGTTTCGGACTCCAAGCGATTCTTCATATCAATTGTGTTCAATATGGAATATTCTTGCCAAATATATTCTGAACTTCGATATAATACGGAACACTGATCTAAAATTTAGTTGAGATTTACAGGAATCGATCGAAAAAATATTAACAATGTGAATTTTCAGTGAATTTCAGATCAATCCCTAAATCTTTTTTATATATTTGATGAATTTCGACATTAGCTGCGGATCGAGTGAATAAAACTGATCATGATTGAGATAAGAAATCCCCAAAAAATTAGATTCTTAATAAGGAAAAAATGCTATGTTTAATATCATACCTTATGAATTGATGCATTTCTATTTCGAATGTAGATAAAAAATCGAAAACTAATGTTGATCCGCATATCAGCTCCTTGAACTTCTCATGAACTTTGTCTTAAGGAACTCATTAGAGATACTGACGGCTCGACCCTAGTTATTTTTCGTAAAACGTTACGAAAATTTGATATTTCCTCGAAATAGCCCTTCCTTGAGGAGATATTGGGTTTAGAAATTTGGAGAAACTGATTACAGATTCTGATTCGTTGACATCAATTACTTCTGATCTAACTCTATAAAAAAAATCGTTATTTCCCTGAAGTACTCTTTTCGTATTGGGAAATTGCAATGCCAACTTTTTGAGTTATCCGTTAGTTGTTAAATGGTATCTTAAGGATAGCTGTCCGATTCTAACTGTTCTTTAATAAGAATAGAGGGTTGTTGCAAAAGAATTTTTCGATTAATCCTTGTCAATGATAAAAAAATATGTCGTTGGGAACTAGGGTACATAATTTTCCTGTTGCTCAAGGGTTCTATGAGTAGCTTCATTAGTGTACTGAATATTTACCTCCTGATAAAGCTTCTATTGGGTTAGTAACATTTGAATATAAGTAAAAAGATTAATTGAAAGCATTACAAAGCTAAAAGAAAAAGTGCCTAGTAACTCTAATTACATTAATGTATGTTAAAGTATCTTAAAGTATCTTAAAGTATGCTAAAGTATCTCAAAGTATCTTAAAGTATTTCAAAGTATTTTAAAGTACGGCGAAGTACGATAAAGTGCCTTAAAGTATGGTGAAGTACGGTAAAGTACCTTGAAGTACCGTGAAGTATCTTAAAGTACGTAAAGTATGAAGTATCATGTTTCTCCCTTGCCTTTCCGCCACTTGTCCTTTAGCTACTAGCATTGTTTCATTACTGTTAAATTATTATATGATCTGAAGAACTGCAAATCAGCACTCAAGATAAGTAATAAAACGTACAATTATTAATAAACTGTGCGATTACACATAAGTGATACGTTTTCATGTTTTTCAAATAGTTAATTGTGATGTTTTTGGTCTATTTTTGATTGTTGATAAAAAACATTATATATATATATATATATAATACGAACTTGTCTACATATTGGATCACCTTATAAACAGATTGGATTGTTCTTATCACTGATGAAATAAGTACTTTTTTTATTCAGTCTAACCATTTAACGTGATAATTTCTGTTGAATGCCAATAAACCATAGATACTGATATTCTTCTGTTAATAAATATATACATATATCCGATTCAACAGTATTAAGAGTATTTTCAATAATCAATTGGTTTGTTCACGTAAATCAAAATGATACATATCGATAAAACAACTGATTGGGTCAAAATCATTAAGATACATCTAGCTTTAATTAGTTTCAAAGTAAAATAAAACCGAATAATAAAAGTATACGAGTATCGTAGTTGAAACAAAAGAAATCCATTTATAGCATTTAAAAAATAAATAAAATTACATTTACCATGAATATTTTCATATTTCTTTTTGAACTTGATCTATATACTATTTTAATGTTTATGTTAGCTATCAAATTTTTTTCGTCATTTAATACATCGAAATCCTTGTACAATGGTTCAAGAAAAGTTAGAATGTCTTAGTGAAAACAGTAGTGATCCTGTTGCTTCTACATTTGATAACATGAATGCATCTGTTGAGATGATAATAAATCCAACATCTAATATTAATTCATCCATACAATCATCAACTGGAAAACGAAACGGAAGCAAAACACTCAATCCATCTGTAATCAAAAAGAAGAAGAGAACTTAAATGCTTTTTAGTTAGCGCTTTTTTCAAATATCTTATTGTCTATATGTGTACTAAAACGTTTTTTATATTGACGATGTGTGTACGAAAACTTTTTGATATCGTTTTATTATAATGAAATCATTGTAATGCGAAATTTTTTTTGACATAAAATGAAAATAAGTATGCACTCCTATGTTTACTTTGAAACTATTTAATACCGATATATACTTCCAATAATGCAATAGTTAGAAAAAATAAGTGTTACAAAAAAAGTACTGACTGAAACAAGTCATTTCAAATGAATTTTAGACAGTAATGTGCTGAATAACATAAGAGGTCACTAAGAAAGTGTCAATTTGCAAAAAGAATTTTATTTTTAGTATTTTTTTACATGATGGTTCTATTGGTTTTAGCTATTCTTGCACTTAAACAGTCGTAATAGATTTATGTGAGATTGTTTTATAAAATCGTTGATCTGTCAAACACTCAATTCAATATGAATTTTATGGAAGAAGTCTTATCACTTAATGGTGATGCATTTTATAATTTTGTCGAACAACAATGTGGCAATGTTGCTCCCGAGATTATTCAAATACAAGATATCTCATCAGCCGAGTGCCTTCTAGATATTGGTGATGTTTTTGCTTTCATGCAGCTTGATTCAGAAGAACTTATTCCGTTAAAGAAAAAAGTGGGAATCTGTCTTAATGATGGTCGCTTTATTTTGAAAAAAGGATTAGTATACAACGTTGAGAAATTTCTTAAAATTCTTCGTACTCTTAATCAAGAATATTTAACGTCTTTGGATCACCACAGCTCGAATAATTCTTCTGATCTAATTGTACCGGAATATTTATTCAAGAAATTTCCATTTATGCAAACACTTATTGTGTATTCAAAACTTATTGCCGACTGCAAATATGACCTTACATTCTTAAACATTATATTGAATAATATGATTAGAAACTTAGTAACTGAAGAAACAGGTTTCCGTTATGACACTATTGTTCGCCAATTTGTAACAAGTCTATACATACTTGGAGGTCGCACTGCTTACGAATTCGTACGCTTAAACATTCCTGCATTACTTCCAAGTGTGCAAATTATTCAAACCTATATTGCTGCTTCAGATAATCCGGAGGCTTGTTTAACTATGACGGGGTTTTAAAATATTTTAATATGAACCAATCAACATTAGGGTTTGTTGCAGAAGATGCTACCGCAGTTGTTCCTAAAGTTACATATGATATAAAATCAAATACATTTATCGGATTTTCTCTTCCTCTTGATAGTAACGGATTACCAATCCAAAATTCTTACTCAACCGACTCATTCACTCGTCTTGAAGAATGGTACTCTGATATTAAACGAGCAACATTATTGAACGCCTATCTTATTCAACCACTCTCATCCTCATTTCACATCTCACCATATATTTTTGCAGCATATGGTACTGATAATAAATCTGAATCGGCAGATGTTATTTCTCGTTGGTACAAAATTTATTAAGAATGTAAGGCTAAGGGTATACTTATTCTTGGGTTTCCAACTGATTGTGATAGTCGTTATTTTCATTCTATGCGATCATCTCTAGGTTTTTTTTGCTAACTTTACTTATGATGGACATCTTGATTTATTATCTGTAGATTTCCCAAGTTCTTGGTGTTGGTTCTTGATGCAGCAGAAACACTTTATCTGTGTTTCCAAGATGCAATTCATATATGCGCTAAGCTACGTAATAGACTTTTGTCTGAAACAACGCATTTACTTTTAGGAGAACAATTAATTAACATGGAACCACTACTATATATCATTAATAACTATTCAACGCTCGATCATTCATTGGTAGTTTCGGATTTAAATCCAAAAGATCGACAAAATTATAATTCAGCAGCAAAGATCTCTAGCGACAACACACTGACTTTACTTGAAAACATTCCCCATTCGTTGGGCATAAATATATATTTGCAGGTATGTGGCAGCAACCAGTATAAAAATAAGTAAATCTATAATTCTTATTGTCTTCTTCCAAACACTTCTAATTATTTGCACTAGTGTTTCGGATAGAACATTGAGACATGTTGAGAAATATATCGACTCAAGGTTGTGGAAACTCATTATGAATAAATTTATTTGCTTCACTTAATAACATACAATGAGTACTGTGGAGTTGATGAAAACATTTTCTTTATCAGTAAAGATTCATAATCTATTATAAGAAAGAAGTAGAGAATTCAAGCAATTTTTTACTAAATAAACCTTTTCCAAAAAAAGAATCATTTCATGATTTTTCTTTGCAGGCAATCAGAAGTGTCAGACTTGCTTATATAGAAAAAAAATACTAATATCTTGGATCGGATCTATCATGCATGGACCTCAATATTTATTTTTCGTTTATGGTGTTTATGGACTCGTTCAATAGATAAGAAAAATCTTGACTTAATCCTCTCGCAAGTATCTAATCTTGATGAAACATCTATAAATACACAATCTCAAACAAAACGTCAATACTTCATTACTAATCAAGCACATTGCCTCGTGTATATTGCTACGCTTGTTTCTGAAGGACAACTTCCGAATGCTGCACTTAACATATGGTTACAAAATTCTCCAACATGTGAAGGTACATTTAGATCAGCTAGAGCAATATCAAGTGTGTTTTCAGCTGGTGTAAATTTTACAGTATCACAATTTCTGAATAGAATTAACAAATTATCAACACTACAAGGCATAAAAAGTAATACAAATCAAAACAATCTTCCCTTTTCTCAACATCATAAATTACCTAAAACATCGATAGGCATTTCAAATTCATCAAATGCAACCACTCTTTCGAAAATTGCTATTGAAAATAGTGTCATTCAAGCATACAAATATGTAGCTAAACTTTTTTCTTCGTTAAAAGTTAAAGAAATATTACGACGAGGGCGAATAATGTCAATTGAAGAAATCAGCAGAATGATTGCACAAGAATTAGACAAATTTTGGTCGTCAGATATTAATGTCCTCAATGACTAGGGGTGGCACATTTACTTTACTTTTCGTTTACATAACTAACGTAAAGTAACTACCGTACTTATTTTTACGAGTAAAAGTAACTATCGTGGTTACGTAGTTACTTGTAAATGGTAACTACTGTAGGTACCTAGTTACCAGTAACTAGTAACTACGGTAGCTACATAGTTACTATTAGCTAATTAACTACTAAAATAATAGTTTGTAGTAAATAAATGAATAACACATTTCGAGTCTGTTGGGGTAATTCGGATTACTCCAGCAAAGATTGCTATACTCATTTTCCCCATCTCCTGATTCCCTTAAATCTACGGAAATCAAATAAAACTGTATATCATTCGATAGCACAAACAGTTCTCTATGGGAGCTGAAAGTGTCTCGGCGAGTAACTTGACCATTTCAATAGAATATGCACAACAAGAACACCTCTGTCAATTACCTTAAAACCCGTCTGGGGTAATTCGGACCAACTGAGAAATTTTGCCTGGAGTAATTCAGATCACTCAAGTTATTTTAGCTGGACCAAAGTTATCAAAGCTCTAACACTTTAACTATACAAAATCAATTGAAACGCCTGAGACAAAAGTTGTTCATTCTTCTCTGCTTTTTCTAACCATCATAAGAGATTTGACTTTTTGTGTTACTGAGTGAGATTAATATTTAAAAAATTAAACTGAGACAAAAGCCCTTTTTATAATATACCCTTCTTGTAGGGGCGTCAGAGTTCCCCATTCCTAGGAACGGGAACTCAGATAGCGTTCCAATTCTTAGGAACGGAAATTCAGTTAGCGTTCCCGTTTTGAGGAACGCAAACGCGACACCCCTACCCTGTTGTATTTCACTAAATATTCCGATATTATAATATTGATTGGATGAGAAAACGATTGTGTTTTCCATACAGAAATGTTTGCTCTGCAAAAAAGACATACAAAAAATATTCAAGATCATTACTAGTGCGCTGTTGTGAGAATTATACTGGTACGCGAAATGAAAATCTGTCAAAATAAAGAACAAACGAATCATTTGGAGGCTTTTTGGAGGCGAATAGGTTCTACTTGTTCGTAGAGCACATATATGGATTAATGAAGTTCAGAAACTGATCACTTCAAAGTAGGAATGTAACAATACCATTTGGAGGCACATAAAGATTGCCAATTTTCACAATGAAAATCTATCAATACCAATCAATACTTTGCTTTAGTTATAACCAGCAAAGTTAGCTATCTGATAGGAGTATATAAAATACCAATACCAACAGAAAGTATCCCCAGTATTGGTAAAAAAACGGTAAATTTCACGAATACTCACCAATACTCACCAATATTTGGGATACTTTCTGTTGGTATTGATATTCTATATACTCCTATCAGATAGAGCTAACTTCGCTGGTTATAACTAACGCAAAGTATTGGTTGGTATTGGTAGATTTTCATTGTGAAAATTGGCAACCTTTATGTGTCTCCAAATGGCATTGTTACATCCATACTTCAAAGTCCCCATAGCTATCCTGCTCAGGTTTTCTTGGGAAATATTATTGCAAGAAATATTAGCATATTCCTTAACAGTAATGCAAAATATGTTTATTTCAACTAACTTTGCTTATTCGTAACCAAATTAGCTAGATCATGAAACTGCTCGTATAAAATTTTGTTGTCTGTTATGTATAGAGTATTCCCTTCTATACATAAGAGAAAGATTAGATGCCTCTTCAAGTCTAAACGGCTTAGCACCTCTGCCCGAATAGCAGAATATATGTGGTTCGAGTCCTATGAAGAGCATCTTTCTCTTTGTTCTGTGGTCATTCCAACTCGCTGCATAACTCTACATGATTCATACGAAATATGAGTCATTACATTATCTACAGGAGGATTTATAATTAGGTCTATGCTTTCATAAGTATTTTATACTTGTTGCTTCTCAGACATGGCTGTCATGACTACAACCACTGTATTAGAGCAGCTAATGTTAATTTGTCATATTGATTTTGATGACATTACATGGTATCTATTGTAATCATCCTTCTATTTTAGCATCAATCATAAGAAACGTGAATATACGGAAGATTATATGAATTAGATCAATAAAATGAACACACATATTTATTGTAACGAAGAGAGAACCTAGCGTATATAGAGAGTGATCATTTTTCTGATTGTCTCTCGTTCATTCAAGTAATTGATATGAAAAACACCCCAAGAACATAGTTCAAGAGATGATTCACAAAGAATCTACAGATAAAAAAGAATTTCAGACCAATGTTTCGTTCCAAGACATCCCATGTAAAATTTCAAACTGCCTACGTTCTCAAGTTAAGATATTTTCATTGCCAACTTTCTTCAAAATGTTTTGTTTTCCATTTTGTCTTCATGGCTGGTTTATAAATACACACTATAACTTATCCTAATAAAGAGCAGAGCAGCGAAAATTGTTTCAAAGAATCATAAAGTAAAATAACAATTATTATCAAATATTCAGAGGCCATGTTATCAGAAAAATGTAATCGAATCTATGCATTTGTAAGAGCGGAGGGATATAATTTATTTAAAAAGACTCTAGCCGTATAGTAAAAACAATCTTTCTGTTAAAGCTGCTCTCGTGTAAACATGAGGAATAGAAGACTGAGATTTGGACTGAGTTGAGTCATGTAACCTTCAACTGTTACCAAAATTACCTGACTTCATCGAACTTATGAAAAATACTTTATAAAACAGTCCATCAATGATACTTAATCATTCAAAGAAGTTTCGTCCAGTACCATCAACTCAATTACTTTTTGGCAGAGATCTTTTCTCTTTTACCTAGTCACCATTTATTGATTATTTCCGAGTCACTACATATTATTTCTGATACTATTAGAACTTTAATACAACGAGACTACACTGCCATTATTTATTGATGCATTAAAATGCATTTATCTCATAAAAAGTAAAAACCTATAGATCCCATACTGGTGAAGCGAGATTTTGACCATCAATGACAATCATAAATGGTAACCCATGAGCGATTTTAAGATTTCCAACATTCTCCCAATCCTACATAAAAGAGCACTCGTAACCAATCATCAAACTCTACATCATCATAAATATCGTTATAGCGCACGAATAATGATCTCAGATATTTTTTTTCGTATGTCATTTTTGTAGAGCAAACATTTCTGTATGGAAGACACAAACGTTTTTTCATCCAGTCACTATTATAGTTTCGGAATATTTAGTGAAACACAACAAGGGTATATTATAAAAAGGGCTTTTGTCTCAGTTTAATTTTTTAAATATTAATCTTGCTCAGTAACACAAAAAGTCAAATCTCTTATGATGGTTAGAAAAAGCAGAGAAGAATGAACAACTTTTGTCTCAGGCGTTTCAATTGATTTTGTATAGTTAAAGTGTTAGAGCTTTGATAACTTTGGTCCAGCTAAAATAACTTGAGTGATCTGAATTACTCCAGGCAAAATTTCTCAGTTGGTCCGAATTACCCCAGACGGGTTTTAAGGTAATTGACAGAGGTGTTCTTGTTGTGCATATTCTATTGAAATGGTCAAGTTACTCGCCGAGACACTTTCAGCTCCCATAGAGAACTGTTTGTGCTATCGAATGATATACAGTTTTATTTGATTTCCGTAGATTTAAGGGAATCAGGAGATGGGGAAAATGAGTATAGCAATCTTTGCTGGAGTAATCCGAATTACCCCAACAGACTCGAAATGTGTTATTCATTTATTTACTACAAACTATTATTTTAGTAGTTAATTAGCTAATAGTAACTATTATTTTAGTAGTTAATTAGCTAATAGTAACTATGTAACTACCGTAGTTACTAGTTACTGGTAACTAGGTAACTACAGTAGTTACCATTTACAAGTAACTACGTAGATGGTGTAGTTACTTTTACTCGTAAAAATAAGTACCGTAGTTACTATTTACAAGTAACTATGTAACTATTGTAGTTACTTTTACTAGTAACTAACGAAAGCCGCTTTGGATGAATGGTTAAGATGTTTGACACATATCCACAAGATATCGTGTTCGAACCTCGACTCCATCAGTCATAGAATGACCTTGGACAAGTGACTAACGGCTGTTTTGCCTCGGACCATCCATCCGATAACAAATTGACTACATAGTTGGCGTGCAGTAAATAGTTCTTGTGACTAGTATGTGCATGTGGTTAGTCAGTATGTATGGGGAGCTTAAGAAATTAAGCGAGAAGAACTCTGAGTCAAGCCGGCCTTCTGTCCAGAGTTACATTTAGTAATAGATGTAGGAAAAATATCGGGCTTCTCGAAACTGTCCTCGGACAGCGCCCTACACAGAAAGGTAGCCGAAAGGCGGGGTATTCTTCTTCTTCTTCTTCTTCTTCTTCTAGTAACTAACGTAAGTATTGATCCATCGTTGAAGAAGCGGGATCAGCAGAGAGGTCGGAATTCTTGGACTAAGAACGATCATGACCACTGTAGTTTCAATCAATTAAGGAATCGATTTGTGTAATTAGTGATGTCGAGGTGCGTCTACATCTGACATTTTCTATCCCCACAGGATCAAATTGGTGCTGTCTTCGAATTTGATTATTCCACCCTAAAATATAATAGCAATTAAAGTGATATGTGTCATGTTACCGTGAGAGAGAAATATTCACCTTCTGGTTTATCACGGTTCCATCGGTTGAGTAACTGATATTTCTCGCAATGGTTTTTGATTCGCTTTTGGTCCATGTAGAAAACATTCATCGAGCTATCACTCTGAGTAAATTTGTATAGATCTTCAGGTGTTAATATAGCATCAGAAGTGGTTCCACTCAAAACCCTTCTTGTTGCCCGATACTTGACGGCGGCACCAATGCCATCTACAGCACCCTTTCCATGTGCAGTGGCACTAAAAGACCACGATGCAGGAATACCAAAATCTACTTGATGGTATGTTAAATTCAATATGCTTTTGTTATTTTTGAAGTGTTGCGGAGCACCGTCCGAGACGTAATTCAATCGTTTAACTGTTGGATAAATG